TTTCTCTTCAATCAGGTTCAGTGTGTTTGGAATTACCCTTGTTTTGATTTTTAAAAATTTAGTCCTTGGGGCTGGAAAGATGGCTTGGGGGTTAAGGAGCACTACGCACTCCTCCACGTGGCGGCTCACCACTGTCTGTGGCTCTTCTTTCAGGAGATCTGACACCTTCTTCTGGCCTTCCCAGGCACTGTACGTGTGTCCTGCACAGACTTACATCCAGAAAGACACCCATATACAGAAAATAAATAAACAAAATAATTCAAAATTGACTTACCCCCCACCACACACGTACGTATCTGATTGGATGCATGTGTACCACAGTCCCTGTGTGAGGGTTGGAGGACAGTCTGAGGGAGCTCCTCTCTCCTTCTGCCCTGTCAGCTCTAAAGACAGAGCTTAAACAGTCAAGGGATATTGAACAGTGGCAGATAAGTTTGTATCAACCTTCTTTCTATTTTAGATATATAGGTATATTGAATTGAAGGGCTATGTGATAATTTATGTCTGAGTATTCTTGAGGAGTCTTTCCTCCATTTTCCCATAGTGGACAAACCATTAACATTGCCACTCCTGGTGTATGAGAATTCTAATTTCATCACATCTTCACTAACACTTAATATCTGCTGTCTTTTTGGTACTAATCGCACTTTCAAGGCCATAATGCCTCGTTGTGATTTTGATCTTTTCCCATGAACAACGATGCTGAATATCTTCATTTATATTGAGTCTATTTTCACTCTTTATGTGTATATACAATTTTCCAGTGCCATTTATTGAAAAGTTCGTCCCTCTTCCAATGATTTTTCCTTAAAAAAATCAGATGGTTTCAAATGTGAGTTTACATCTAAGTTTTCCACACTATTCTATTGGCCTATATGTTTTTTTTATATCTTAACACCATGTTATTTTGATTACTGTGGTTTTGTTGTATATTTCTGAAGTGAGTTTTGTTTCTTTCTTCTTTGTTCTTTTTGTTTAAAATTGCTTCTACTCCGGAAATTTTAGGTTGCACGCTCATCTTGGAGTTTTTCTCTAGTTTTGTGAGGGGTGTCACTGACATTTGGAAAAAGGCTTGCAATGAGGTCTGAAGGTCATTTTTGCAGGACTAGACTACTTTATTGCACAAAAAGTTTTATATGTCAAACTTGAACTTGTAAACAATTTTACTCTTTTCACGTAAATTGAAAAGTACAGGTTTTTTTTCTATGATATTACCAAAATAATAACAGTCAAGACTTTCAAAGCTTTAAAAAATCACCAAAGCAAAACAATGCTTTTGTACAGTTAGTATATCACTAGCATTGCCAAATATTTAAAAATTATTATCAATCTTGTAAAATCATGTGTTCAGTTACACTGTTATAGGGATTGTCAATGTCACGGGCAGGCAGCCCAAATGTTGGTGATCTCTATCTCTTTCGTTTTGCAGCTTTTAAATTAATTTTATTTTCTGAGCATTGGTGTGTTGCCTGCACGTATGTCTGTATGAGGGTCTCAGAGTCCCTGCACCTGGAGCTAGAGACAGTGGTGAGCTAGCATGTGGGTGCTGGGAATTGAACTCGAGTCCTCTGGAAGACTAGCCAGTGCTCTTACCCGCTGAGTCCTCTCTCCAACCTTGGTGGTCAGTGTCTTGAATTTTAATCTCAAACTCAGGTTCCTCTTGGACATTGAAACCCTCAGTCCATCCAGAGCGTTAGTATTTCCCACCGTTTCCCACTTTCCACGTTTTTTTTAAAAAACATCATGTTTATTAATTTTTTGAGAATTTCTTACACACTCACCACCCCCAACTCCTCCCATAGCCATTTTCCCATCCCTTCCCAACCAACACTGAGGTTTCTTCTTTATTTTGTTCCCATCTCCCTATTGAATCCAGTTTGTGTTGTTCAGGGGCCACAGCATTAAAATAAAATGGTTCTTTCTTTCCTAGTAGCTAATGAAAACCAATTGTCATCTAGTGGTAAGTTTTTTTTGACTGGAGTGCAGGTCTTGTGTGTGTTGTTATAATAACGGTGAGTTCATGTTTGCAACTGCCCTGTTGTATCCGAAAAGCACTGCTTCCTGGATGCCACCCCCTGTGGCTCTTGCATATTTTCCAGTCCATCTTCTGTGCCTTTCCCTGCACCTGTGCTGAGGGATGTTGTTAAGTCTGGAGTGGAACCCCAGCCCCTGGCATCCATCCCAGCCCCCTGGCCTGAGAGTCCCGTTGGTCTGGACTCCAGATCCCAGCATGCCAGGTCAGGACCACTTCCACAGGGTATTTAGATGGACTCCTACTTAAATTTAAGAGGAAGAACACATGGTTCCAGCTTCGCATGTGCTCCCTGCTCTCTGGTCTCCCCTGCCATGCTCTCGGCCACCTGAGAGCGCTGCACTTAATACAACATGGGCATTTTAATTTGGTTTAATCTGACCTAATTGGATGTTCGTGTGCTGGCAGAGTGGTTTGTCCTAGGATTTTTTTTTCCTAACAGATGCAATTGCTATGCTCTGTTTAGGGCTGAGGACTCCACAATTTCTTATTGTCTGCGTACTGACCATCGAGGGTCTCTATGTTAATGTCATCTACTGCAGGGAGAAGCTTCTCTGATGAGGCTCGAGAGATGCTCTGTCCTATAGGCACAGTGAGTCATCACCAGAATCATTTTAATTTTATCCATTTTGCACAACCCTGCTTATTCTACTCCACAGACAGGGGACACCTTGCCATCGTCCGCCCTCTTCAAATATTTCACCAAAATGTCGCAGCGTCCACTCTTTCATCCCATTGGTTAGATCTTCCTGGGACATTTCATTTTTTGTAGTTATCATCAACAGGATTGCTTCTTTGGGTATTATTTAAGATAATCATTCTATGTACAGTAACACTTAAGAATTTTCTCTGTTGATTTCTATATCATGAAAAAAATTAAATTCATGTGTTTCTCCTACCAGATATTTTTTATTGACTCTTTCTCTATATATATGCTTTCTCTATATGCAATCATGTCATCTGCACTCAGTGGCAATTTGCCTTTTTTCTTTTCCAATTAGGATGATCTGTATTTTTTCTCTCGTTTGATTTCTTTGGCTAGGACTCCAAATACTTAACAAAAATGGTGATGAAAGTGACCATTTTCATCTTGTTCCAGTCCTTACAGAGAAAGCTTTCAAAGTTTCCACAGCTAATACAATGCCCTCCGTTAGATTATCACACGTACCCCTCTATATGCCCTAAATGTGTTGATGTGCACTCCTTCCAGATTCTGCTGGTTCTGTTTTACTGTGAAGGATATAGAATTTTGGCTCATGCCTTTTCTATACTTATTGGTGTGATGAAGCATTTTCATCTGACATTTATGCTTTGTCCCATTTATTGATTTCTTGATGTTGACCTATTCCTGCATCACTGGGATAAATCACATTTGATTATAGTGGATAAATCTTTCTGAATGTGTGGCTGGATGGGCCTTGCTAGCATATTTTAGGATTTCTGCACATATGTTTATTCAGAGTTTTGGCTGGTAGTGCCTTTATCTATATTTCTGTTTCTCTCCGTCTGTTGTCCAGCTTGATTACCATGGTTATTCTCAGCTTGACAGTGCCTTTGAAAACATTCTCTCCTCTTCAGTTTCTGCTATAATTTAAGAAGAATTTCTATTAACGTTGCAGATCTATGTAGAATGAAACAGTGGGGCATCGGGTCTGGTGCTTTTTTTAAAAGAGAAGAACATTATGATTTGGAAGTGAAATCTTCACCATAGGCATCATGAGGGAAAAAGAAATAATTCTTCCCTTTAAGTTTTCCTTAGATATTTTCAGAACAAAGGAAAAATCTGACTAATGAAATAATTTGAAATATTTTATTTTAGTGTGTGTGTGTATTCCATGTGAGTTCAATTTACAGGAGTTGGTTCCCTCTTTCCACTGTATAGGGCTAGGAAACTGAACTCTGGTTCCCAGGTACCATAACCTGCCGAGTCTTACTCCCTAATATAGATGGCCACATCTCCTTTTAGTTTTAGTGTTTTTGCCTTTTCTCGAATGTGTTACGATCACATTGGTGTTGAATGTAGACTGTGTATACATGCTTTCTTCCTCTTAAGAATATGTAGTCAAGATTCTATCCTGCCCTTCAATGGCGTAATTGCTGCTTTCTATTACTAAGTAATGTTGCATTGTTTAAATGGACCACAGTTTGCTAATCAGTTAATTTATGAAGAACACGCTGGTTGCTTATAAGTTTTGGTTATTGAAAATAAAGCAGCAAGCAGTGTTCCTGGGCTGGTATAAAATGTTTGTTCTCATAGGTAAATAGCAAAGGTAGTGTGATGGTTTGAAAGAAAAATGGTCCCCAAAGGGAGTGACCCTATTAAGAGGTGTGGCCTTGTTGGAGGAAGTGTGCCACTGTGGGGGTGGGCTTTGAGGTCTCTTTGCTCAAGTTTCCCTCAATGTGACTGTCAGTTGACCTCCTGTTGCCTACAAGATGTAACATTCTCAGCTTCAGCACCATGTCTACCTGCACGCTGCCATGTTCCCTGTCATGATGACAATGGGCTGAACCTCTAAAACTGTAAGCAAGCCACCCGATTTAAATGTTTTCTTTATAAGAGCTGCCGTGGTCATGGTGTCTCTTCAAAGCAATAAAAATCCTAAGACAAAAGTTGGTACTAGAAGTGAGATATTGCTGTGATAGGCCTGACCATACTTTTGTTTGGAGTGATACAGACTTTGGGGACTTTGGGTTAGAGAAGCAGCAGAAAACTTTAAGCACTGCTTAGTAGGCCATACTAATAGGAACATGGAAGACGGTGCTGATGTAATTTCATGAGCTGTGGTGGGGGAGGGAGGCTACCTCAAAAGGTTTCAGAAGAGGAGAATTTTAGTATGTTGCTTAGAGATTATTCTTGTGATGTTTTGATGCGGGAAGTGGTTGCTTTTTGCCCTTGTCCAAACAATTTGCCCAAGACAAAAGTGAAGAATTTTGATGATCCCGTCAAAACAGCTTAATGTAGACCGTCATGCGGTTTTTGGTAGCAACTCTAATGAAGATTTATCCTGAGGAGGAACTAAAGGAAAGCTTTGAACGAGTGTGATGGTGCACGCCTTTAACGCCAGCACTTGGGAGGCAGAGGCAGGTGGAGCTCATCCGGGTAAATTTCCATCTTGTGAAAAGGCATTGAAGAACAGCTTAGAGCTGGGTGTGGTGCAGAGACTGGCTAGTCTACAGAACAAGTTCTAGAACATCCAAACTTAGGCAGTGAAGGGAGCAATCACAGAAAGCTGGTGAAGATGTAGTTGACCAAGGGGGTCATGTTCCAGCTCGAGCAAACAGCATAGCTTGGCAGCTTCAGCCATGTTCTTCTGGCTTTAGAGTTCAGGATAGAAGAAACAGGTTATGGATGTTGCCTTTGCATCAAAGGAAAGCTGCTGGGGCCAGGCTTGAGTTGGGGGTGTCCCTGAGTGGAGGCCTAGAGGAGACTACATTGCATAAGGTTGTGAAGTTGAAGCCTGGGTTGCCTTGGAGACCCCAAGATGCTGGAGATGCCAGAGTCATGGGATACCTGCTGAGGAAAGCTGTTAACTGGGGGGTGAAGGCAGCCTAAAATGTTGTGAAAACGTTGCTTATATTCTAAGAGACTATAACTTTCGCTGGACCCAGGAGCCGAATTAATCATATACCCTGAGGTCTTAGTAAGGAATTAGCTTGCTGTGTACTCAGCCTGTTTATTTATTTAACCTGTCTGTAAGAGAACAATTAACCTTAATTGCCTGGTATTTTCCATGAAAGCAGCTTTTACATCCTAAATTAATGCATGGCCATGGTTGTAATCTCTCCCATGTCCCTGACTAAGAGCAGTGTGTGTGTGTGTGTGTGTGTGTGTGTGTATGCGTGCGTGTGTGTGTACAACCAATGGGTCTAAAGCATTCTTACAACATATATCCACCAGCAATGTTGGAAAAAGCATAAGGACGTTGCTTACTGATGGTGTTTGCAGTACTGTTTGTTACCTGAGTTAGGTGGACCAGTCAGGGTGCGTAACTTCATCCCTTGCAAAACCTTATAGATTCCTGTAAAATAACCCTCATTCCTTCCTTGTGGTCCGTTTTCTGTGTTGTTTAATGAATGTTATTTCCAGCATTAATGCAGATGTTTACTGTATAAGGACATTTTTGTTCTATTTGCTGTTTTCAAAAAATTGAGTGTCAAACACACAGGCATCCTAAAGCATTCTTCTGTAGACAGGAGTATAATGCAGCCCCATAACCCTCCCACGCCTAAGGCTGAGGGAACACTGCAGAAGAGGGGGCAGAAAGAGTGTAAGAGCCTGAGGCTCGGAGACCAAGGGACTCTTACATGGTATATTATTAACTCAGTTGTGAGGTATAGCAAAAGTTCCAGACTCTTCCAGCATAAGAAATTCTTTTCATAAAATAGATCACCACAGTCTTGATTCTTCATTTATTCTAGAACAGTGTGTTGGATCTGATATATTGCTTAGCATGGGTCGTGAGGGGGTGCTGGCATCAGCTTTGCCCCAGATCTGGGTTATGAGCCTCCCTTCTAAAATTGTGTGTTCTTGAACTTCCTGGGTGTGTCTGGTCATCAGCAACACTGCCCGTGTCTCCTGCAAAGTTCACAGGTTCTGGTAGTTTAACTTAAAGTGAGTCGCTGGGTTGGTGTGATCTCCATCTGTAGACATGAACAGTGGCTCTGCAATCCCCTCCCATTTTGCTTGGTTTTGTGTAACACGGAGGAGGGTGATTGTTACTCAGTTCTTGATATTTGAGAGTCCTGACCCTGGGCTGTGGGATTGCTCTTGGCTTCTTGTCTGCTTAGTCTTTTGGGCTTTTTTTTTTTTTAACCCCTTTGCAGTTTTGCATGTTGAGAGTTGAGATGTGTATACTATAATATGCATGTATTTATAAATTGTTATTTGTTCACTGGTTGATGTATAGCATAACCCTCAATCATTGGTTATTTCTCTTTATTAGAAATATGTATTTTCTAATAAAAAATAAAATATCAGTAATTCTAAAATTATAGTTTTCAAAATATTTTCCTTTTTAAACATTTCAAGCAACACACTAAATCACACTCTTCCAAAGTCAACCAACTCTAAAATCTTACTAATTAATGCAATATGCTCTAAAGAATATGGTCATTTTTAATGTGCTGAGATAGTTTTATTGAGTGGAAAATAGTGTCTTACGTTACATATGTCTGCATTACTAAATTATCTTTCAATTTGTTCTGTTTTAGGTGGCTTATGTCATTTCAATTGATGGGAAATCCCACTCTCTGCGTCTCACGAACTAGTAAGATGTATTTTTTCTTTTGGAAAAAGTAAATATCTATACTTAGTTTTTACTCTTTTAAGTTTATATGCAGCATTTAAATCCAGTAGTATGATGGCCAATCAACTTTTCAATTTAGGATTTGTTAGGTCCTGAATATTAGGCCTATGAGGCTCTTGTATTTAATTTTTCAGATTTATATAATTTTAAATTGAGAAATGAATTATGTATTTGGAAATTGGACCAATTTTACCCAAGCATGGTAAATTGCATGGATTTCTGAAGTCAAATAGTTAGCACTCAACTGCCTATTGTTGAGAAATTCAGGTAGGGTCAATTTTATGGTGCACTAATTATTTATATGACTTAAAACAGTCTTCCTTAGTATGTTCTGCATATTAAAAATCTCCCGTGTCAGCTACAGCTTCTCAGTGCTTTGCAGTAATGTTTCTGTTCTTAAAAAGCAGTTAGCTTGAAATTTTCATCCATCTCTGTTCCCACCCACAGTTCAAAGCACCAATCGGTCTTTTTTATGTCATCCTTGCATCTTCTCAGCCTCTCTTACGAGAGCAATCAGGTGGCCTCTTTGCAGCCTCAGGGAGAACAAAGATGAGTCGCTTGTCTTCCTTTTTGCTTTGTGGCTGAAAAAGTTGTCTTCATCCATGGTGTCTGCCAACTTTACAGGGACCTTTCCTTCTACAATGTATTTCATTAAAACGGGATCAGAAATTTTGGTAAGATTATCACTGCCCTTCAGGGTTTTTAAAAAATATTATGTGTTTTAATCTTCATTTAGTCATTTATTCTCTACCAGTTGAGGACATTTGGCACAACTGGTCAATGTCCTTTCCATAAATGGACTCCCCTGGACGCCAGAATGTCATCAACCTCTGGCCCTGGTTTGACTCTTACCTGTATTCCTAATCTTGTTATTCTCTCTGCATCAGCCCTTTGCACATTCTTCTTCACCTTTCCAAGCTGAGGACACAAAATAAACCTCTTGTCCAATGTGTATTCGGTCAGCTAGTGTTTCAGTTCAGTCTGGTGGCTGTGAGTGTCTTCTCTGACTATTGGTTGCTTGTAGTTTATATCCATACATTACTCCATTGCAACGAAAGCTGTGCTCAGTCACTATTTCTTTTTCGTAATCAAATGTTTGCTCCAACTCGTGTTGCTAACCTGCTAAAAGTGGACCTCGGATGCTCTTCCCAAATCTGCATTACTCATGAGCATCTTAGTAAATGGCAAGTCATCTCTTCCAGTTTTCCAATAAAAAAAGAAAGAAAGAAAAGAAAAGGAAGAAAAAGACAAGAAAGAAGAAAAATATGTCCTTAGCATTTCTCTTACATTTGCCTTGCCCAAGGTTCAGTGGGTTTTTCAGGTCTATGTGGGCTTCTACCGTGATTTCCATCACCATTCCAGACTCCATCAGGATGACCTCGGTGGCCGTATAGTCTTCTAACTAGCTTTGGCTTCTGTGTATTTGCCATGCAGATTGTTCTCAACATAGCCTTGCATGGGATGCTCTTAGAACGTTGATTGGCTACTATCTACATATGCCCCAACCCTCTGTGACTCGGTCTCACTCTGTCACTCCACACTCTAGGCCAGACCCAGTACTCATTGCTACTCTTTGCATGTGCACAGCTATGTCTGGCTCAAGACCCTTTCATTTTGTCCCAGTTCGTCTTGAAGGTCCCATTGGCCTGTCCTTTGTGTCTGGTCATCTACTCACGAGTGCTGTCATGTCTGACCATATACTCTGTGTAATCACTCCACAATAACCAGGCCTTGTTCTCTGTCATATAACCACATGTGACTCTGATTGTCTTGTTAGGACTATATTCCAAGGCCCAGACGTGGGACTGTCAGGTGATATACATACTAGTGGGTGTTTGTTCAGTGAAGACATACACAGAAGTACCTGACAGTGCTGTCCCAGGGTTGAGTTCTCCTGGCTCTGCCCATATATCAGTTTTTTAAAAAATAGTATCAACAACGATACCACACTAAAATTACTGTTATTAAATCATGCTATTATATAAATCCATTGCACTAAACATTATTTTATTAACGTGTCTATGCATTTTAAATGATGACTGAAATCCTATCTGTTGGTTTCCTTCTAGCTCATTCTTATCCCAGGATTTTTTGGTTTATACATATGATAAAAATGGATCGTTTTATACTGACTTTTCACACATTATGGTAAGAATTAGATGTCTTAATATTTGTTACCTTATGTGTTGTTGCTGAAAAGCATCTACAGTATACTTAGACCACATCTCCCTTTTAGACATTGTTTTTGGTTGCTAGGACGGAACCCGGGCCGTTGCACATCCTAGCAAAACTCTATCATGGTGCTACTTTCCAAGATGTATGTTGACACCAATTCAAATGTTTAACTCCTTGGGACTGTGACCTATTATATGGATGACTTCTATACATAGAAACGTCCTGGGAAAAAGATAGAAAAATGGAGAAAACCCACAAGTCAAGAGAGGGCCCTAAATCTTACTTCCTGAGAGTTTACACTAAAAATTCTACACAATTCATGATTTAATATTATCAAATCTTTTGCTATCACGAGCCTTCTAAAATATTTGACAACACAGTTTTTTTTGTTGTTGTTATAAAAAGAATTTGCGTCTTCACCCATGTGATCTGTTTTGCAGCCGCATTGCCATTACCGAGGGTATGTTGATGAATTTCCAGATTCCACTGTGACCCTCAACATCTGCTCTGGCCTCAGGTAACAGCATCCTCGAGAACGATTATGTAAAAGCACAGAAGGATGCACTTTAAAGCGAAGCCGTGACGAGCAGATACAAATCAAGAGGAGCCACCAGCGGGACTCTGAAAGTTTCTTTTCCCATGACCTTTTATCTGTGCTAACACGTGGATCTCAGCTGTCACTCACACTAACTCAGCTGAGGCCACCTGAGTGGAGGTGTTTCCGGGTTGCTGGGCAGAAAGGGATGGTTTGAGAAATGAGGACTTTAGAACGCTTTAACACAGTGCTTCTCCCCTATGGGTTGCAACCCCTTTGGCAACCCTCTATTCCCCAAAATATTTACATTATGATTCATAACAGTAGCAAAATTAGTGTTATGAAGTAGCAACATGATAATTTTATGGTTGGGGGTCACCACAACGTGAAGAACTGTCACAAAGTGTCGAAGCAATCGGGAGGCTGAGAACCACTGCTCTAAAGGCTAGCGTTTCTCTTTTTATGTGATTATCTCACTATGGAAAATGCCCTTAATTGGTCATTCAGTCTAATAGGCCCATTCAGTACGGTGTCAGTTTCGTGCCGTGGCTGAGGCAGCTGACAAAGAAGACCCCTCAGTGGACAAGGACAGCAATAAGTGATTTCTTCGTTACTGTGGGAAACATGAAAAGTTTATCCAGGGAAGATGACTCGAGAACAGAGCAAGGATGTCCACAGCCACCTTTCCCTGTTAGTGCCTTTTGGGATGCTTGCTCTGCTTCCTATTTTCCTTCAGTTTTACCTTATAACCACGAGAAAGTTCCCTGTGGACTTCTCCTCAGTTTCTAGGACATTGTTTTTCTTAACATATGGTTTTGATTATAAATATATGAGTACATATTAACTGTATGTCTCAATTGATCTGCTGGCGACATTTCCATACATCTCTGCACTGTGGTTTGATTGTTTCTAACCTCCAGCTCTTGTCTCGCTCACACATTCCTTTCTCTTGCAGCCTCTCTACTAGTTTCAGTCACCCTTAAAAGTTGTTTTCTAGCTCACATTGAAAGAGAAATTTATACCTAACTTTCTGCATCCCCCGTAGTTGGCTTTGATGTGATATCAGCTAATTCCATCCATTTCCTGGAGAGGGCATGCTATTTTATGACCAGATAATACTCAGTTCTGTTGGAGACACATAGACTAATCCCATTTCCTTCCATGCCTTGGCTACTGTAAATAATGCTGCAGTCATAAAGTGCTCTTTTCTTTAGGCGCCCTGACCTTGTGCCCTTCTGTATGTTGTGGTTTGCTTCTGCCAACTCATATGATTGTGAGTTGAAAGCCCGCTCCCAGGTGCTGTCACAATGAGTAGATGATTAGACCACAAGGACACTAACCTCATTGACGGATTAATCCATGATGAGTTCATGGTGGAATGGCCTATGAGGAGGAGGGCCTTAGGTGGGGGAAGCAGGTCACTGAAGTGGGTCTTTGAAGTGTCCGTCTCGTTTCCCTCCCCTTGGCTTCTGCCTGAAATGAACTGGGCAACTGTTCTTGTGTGCTTCCTTTCGCCATGAAGGTATGCCTGGTCACAGACTCAGACCCGCCAGTCCCCCTTGCAGCTTTGATTCGTATTTATCTGACAGCTAGTGAACTCGAACACTTTTTCATGTCTTCACTGGTTCCTTGAACATATTTGAGAAGTGACCTCTATGTCTTTTTCTCCATTTATTGACTCAGTTGCTGCTTTTTCTTCTTAATTTTTGAGTTTTTTTGGCAATTGTGCGATGTGGGACAAATGGATGACTGATTGTCTGTAGGACATTCATTGTTCTGTTGGTCCTTTGCCGTGCAGATACTTTTACTTTAATTCTGTCTCACTTGTTAATGCTCCTCTTTTCTAAGCAAAGTCCTTGTCAACGCTTATTCTTGAAGTGTTTCCTTTATTTTTTCTTCTAGTGCTTTCAAAGTTTCAGGTCTTGTTCTAAGTTCTCTGGTCAATTTTTGTTGAATTCTATATAAGTTAAAAGATCTACATTACTCTTCTACTTATGAATATCTAGTTTTCCCAACAATGTTCATAAGGAGGTCAGCCCTCTAACCTAAGATGTTGATCTATTTGTCAGAAATCAGTTTGCAGTAGATGTGTGGGCGGGCTTACTTCTGGCTTCTTGGTCCTACCCTATTGGTCTGTACTTCTGTCAATAACACGCCATTCTGGTCCTATAGATAGCTTTGTAGTGTAACTTGAACTTCAGTGTTTGGATACATTCAGATTTCTGAATTTGCTCACAATTACTTGAATGATCAAAGTCTTTTGTCCTCCCACAAGAATCTCAGGATTCCCCCTCACCACCAAGATTTAGGGGTTTTTTTTGTTTTGTTTTTAAATAGAGATTGCACCAAATCTGTAAATTTCCGTTGGCAATGTTAGAATCTCTCCTGTCTGTGACTGTCTCTTAAACTTGCGTATCACTCCTTCACCGTGGCAAGATATCCTCAGGGGCCCTCAACTGTACGTTTCCTGACCCAAAGAAAGGTGTGGTCCCCAACAGTAATGCCTTTTCTAGATACTTCCTGGTTACTGCCCCCAGTGATGCTGAGAGACAGAGTGAATTTGTTATCTAAACAAGTCATCCCTGGCAGGCCTTGTTTCATGTTGGGTTTGAAGCTCATAAAGAGGAGGGGTTTCTCCTGCACTGGGCCTGCTAGTCTCATGTGTGCTCGCTGTGTCTTAGCTTGGGCTCTGCCCACTGCCAAGGAGCCAAACTTGAAGTTGCCTGAGATTTTGTACTTTGCTCTAAGTTGGCTTCCTGACTCCATTTTCTCTCTGTTCCCACAATACCTCCCCACTCCTCTCACCAGAACAGACCTTCCCTTGTGCTGCTCTGATGGCTCTTATTCCCAGGAACACAAGAAGTAGACTTTAATTTTGTCCCACTGTCCCTGCGCCTCAATAGACCTTGGATTCTAATACTGTCTGTTAAAAGGAGTGCAGTGCTGCCTAGGGTGATGTATGCATATATCAGTCTCAGCACTTGGTAGCAGGGGCAAGAGGATCCAAGGTTTGAGGCTACCCTGAGCTATATATACTTCAGAGTTAGGACCAATCGTGGTGGTTTTAAATAATGCTGCCTGCAAACACAAACAGGAAAGATGCACGGAACCATTTGTTTCACGGTGGTTTTTTGTTTTTTACATTTAGGACGGTAGCTTGAGGGGGCATTGTACGTGGTTTTGTGATGATTGTCTTTCTGAATTCAGGGGATTCCTACAGTTTGAAAATATCACCTATGGAATTGAACCACTGGAGTCTTCAGCAAGATTTGAGCACATAGTTTATCAAGTGAAAAATGGCAATTCAACGTTAGCAAAAAATTACAGTCGCATTTGGCAAACAGACCAGCTGGATAAAGGTCATTTCGATGCACAGGTAACCATAGGCGTTCTGGTGGTAAGGGACACTGTGGAATCCCTCCCGTTGCTCATCAGTCACGAAGAGAGACTAGACTGATGAGTCCATAGCTTTGTTCTCTGCCTCCACGTGAAACATGCAGGTTGCACAGAGCCTGGAAGGCCACCTGGGACCCTACTTCACATTTCCTGCTTTATGGTCTAGTTGTAACATCTTCGAACATTTGTTATTAAAATCTTTTGAACAATGAAAGGATACCACTAATTTCAGTAGTCTGCTCAAAGTGATTTCAGTGTTTATTATGTAGCTTTCTATGCTAATCGGACATATTTCCTAATAGGCAATCATTGCTATGTTACCAGAGGTGGAAAGAAATATTAGCAAGCTTTCGAGCCAATTAAACTATGATTTAAATAAGGTTCATTAATAAGTTGACCTTGGAAATACTAAGTTACATAGAAATAAGAAATGTAGTTGAGGGGTTCTGCCTCATTCATCACTCAAGTGTGACTGTAAGATGGGTACATACTGAACAGTTTCTCCAGGCCAATATAGAAAGACAAAGAGAATAGAGAGACACTTCTGACTTAATTAGAATTTTAAGTTTGCTGGAGTGTTGTGCCTTTTGAAACCTCTTTATTAGAGCCGCTTGCCAATGCGACTCTAATGTTTCTTCTCCCATCAGAAGAAACACGTTTATCATGTTGCCTTGGGAGGATGGTTTTGGCTGTCAGCTGTCCAGAGGATGGGTGTCTTATTTGTTTTTATGACAATTGCATCTGTACTTCTCTGCCCCTGTGAACTCATTTAGTTGCTCAGAAAGCATAACTTGGGGCTGGACCCTACAACCTAGCTGCAGATGGAACCATCTATAAGATTACAACACTGTAATCTGCCCGATATAAACTGTGTTTAAAGACTTCCGGTTGTGACAAGGCCCCCTAAAGTAGGCACTGAGCCCAAGCCACGTGCTATTACAGAGTTCCCTTTCTCTCGGTGCCTGGGTGGAGGCCTCCCTGGATAGGGTTAATTCTCACAATATTACTCCTGATGCCTAGCTTTAATTGCCAAGTTGACACAGTCTCCAGTCACCTGGGGAAGGAGTCTCGGTAAGAGATTGAGGCCAGACAGGCTCCAAAGCTAGACAGTGAAAACCTGTCTTGAAAAGACAAGGGGGGGGGGGAGAGATTGTCTAGATTTCAGTCAGCATTTAGGCATGTCTATGGGGGATGATCTTTATTAGTGGGAAGACCCACCTACCTTGCTATCACTTGACACTGTTTCTGGGGAGATCTGAGCACTCCAGATAGGATTACAAAGACAGATCCGAGTATGGATCCTGACGAGGTCCAATTGAGTGAACCGATGTTTTATTGGGGTTCCCCACAGGGCTGTGGGTGGGAGGCTATTTACAGAAACGGAAATGATGACTCAAAGACAGCTGTGCCACCTTAAAATACCACCACAGCATGAGGAGCGGCTAGCAATAACTAATAAATAACAAGGCTGGAAACCTGAGTGCACTGCTCCTGCAAGGAGCTCGGCAGAATAGAGGGTGTCTCTTCTAGGCAGCTCAGGTTGTCTGTGCCTGTTCCAATCAGTGCACACTTGCAGCCATGTTGCATTGAGGAGGAAGGACTAACTCTCAGGGCCCTTTGCCCAAGAGAGGGCTTGATTTATTCAGAAGAGGTTCAGCTGGTCTCATTCTACGCAGTAGTGAAAAGGAGGGAGGAACTTCTGTCTTAATTAATCTTCTACAAGAGTCGCATAAGGGAGACTATTGCTTCTCTGGCTTTATTGACTCAGAACACACAAAGGCACAATCCGCTCTTACCGCCTGCATGTGGCTTCCACCCCATGGGGACTGGGGAGGGGCATTGCTTTCAAGGCTTCACTGCTTCTACCAAATGGTCTTCCTCTCCCACACATAGGCATTGATGAGTCAGAACCACGAAAGGCTCAAAAAGGAAAAAAAAGGGAACAAGGTTCATTGAGCCATCCAAAGCATAGCAGTCAGAATTAAAATGGTTTTCTCTGAGATCCGTTAATTCCAAATAGATTTAGCATACACTATATAGGCAGAAGGAATGTGTAGTTGTAAATGACTTTGAAGTATTTGGGTAACAGTTGGAATTTAAAGGCAAAGATTAAACAATATTCCTCAGAAATACCATTCCCACATAGGCTGGACTGAGAGTGTCTCTCATCTAGCCTTATGACATATAAATCTTGGGAAGTGAGAGATTTAATGAATCTGGTCAGTTTCGGGGACTTCCTAAACCTTTTGAGTTTTCTATTTCCTGAACGTAAGAAACTTTCCATGGAATGAATTGTTTCACCTCCATTTGTTTCAACCACATTTTATCCATTGTGTAGTAAAAGAGGATAATAAAATTCAATGTTCATTTGATGTAGACACTCAGCAACCTTGTAATAGAGTGGGGTTTGCCCCTAAAATATACTATCCATGAAAACCTAATCAAATACTGATTGCTCTCTTGTTAAAGTTTGATAAATTCAGGGACATTCCCCTTTATCACTCTACCCATCATGATAAAGGATTCCTTGGCGGATTATGTGGTACTCCTAAATCCAATGATGGAAATACACCTGTATTGAGTATTATATGAAATATAAAAATCCACCACACTCCTATAAACAGCAGAGGAGTGTAGAAATGCTGTGCACACAAACTGCAAAGTGCTGATTTAATAAAGAACTAATTAAATGGAAATATAATTTATTTATGGGACTGTAAGATTTGCCATAGGAAGGACTATGTTTTCTCTGAAAGTGACATATGAATTTCTCATAACTGTTAAAAAAATCTAGCAAGAAGATAAGTAGATACATGGGTACTATATATAATTAAAAGATAATATGTATTTACACAATAAAATGAGCCCACTAAGATCATTCAGTGTTGCACATATGTGGTTAGAGCAGACTCTTGTGGTTGACTAACCTATCAGGAGCTCACGGCAACCACCGGTGCTTAAAGTTCTCCTTCTGAAGGTGAAGCCCTCACAGGGAACCTCTCGTGTCAAGGACATTTTGAAGCAAAAGTTATTTTTTTGCAATAGATTTTTATATTTAGGTCTTGATGATAGTTTTATATATGTCTTCCCTAACTTCCTTGCATGTTAACTTTGCTTTTAGAAAATTCGGTAGACATTAACACTTAATGTTTTTGGTTGTTTTCCAGGATAAAAATGATTCACAACTATTACCTCAAAGTCTAAAACTACACATGATAGTGGGAAAATCTTTGGTAAGTCAATGTCCCTCTTTCCTCCTTCCTGTCCCCTTTTATCACATTTCCTTCTCTTCCCTCCTTTCCTCTCCCTCTCCTATTTCCTCTTCTTTTCTGTTCACCTCCTCATTTCTCCTACCCTCTTCCATTTCTTCTCCGTTTTTTTTTTTTGGCTTTTCGAGACAGGGTTTCTCTGTAGCTTTGGTGCCTGTCCCGGAACTAGCTCTTGTAGACCAGGCTGGCCTCGAACTCATAGAGATCCACCTGCCTCTGCCTCCTGAGTGCTGGGATTAAAGGCGTGCGCCACCACCGCCCGGCTCCATTTTTTTTTCTCTTCCTTCCTTTTAATAAAAAATTTAGAGACAGAAATGATTTGTTTTCTTTGAGCTCACAGGTCTTTTAGTTTGTTATTCATCCCACATTGTCTGCTTTATAAACTTTAATTTTGAAAAGAGCTAAACAGTAAGAGAATTGCCCTGTGATGCAGTGGATGTTAATGTAAACTGTGAAGTGGTGAAACACTGGGAGGCGCAGTAGCTGGGCAGTGCTCACAGGAAAGATTTTTAAGATAAGTAGCAAAGAATCTAGCAGATGCTCACAGTTGTAGGAGCCAAAAATCAGGAGTCTCTGAAATAAGCTACTCTGTTTGTTGAGTGATAGGCGAGTTGATGTAACTGGAATGGATATAGCCATCATCCCAGGAGTGTGGGTTTGTGGGAGGACCCAACAGGGTGGCTGACTCTCAGCCTAAGGCCGGAGCTTGTGTTTCACCCCCTATGTAGCTGGGAGATGCTGAAGCATGTGTGCAGCATGAGAAGTGGAATCAGCTAAGACTGCGGATTCAGTGATGTGGAGAGAAGTTAGAGTGGGTAGAGAGATGGGCCTGTGGGGCGGAGGAGGGCATGATGGAAGAGATAACTTAAAATCCCATACAGAAGCTGCTCTTTTGTTTTATGATTGCATATTCATCTAAAGGGGTCTAATTGAAATTACCTGTTGGAGACCAGTTTCGATAAAGATACCACTTACCCCAGGGTAGGGGCTTGGGGATTAGAAAAATAAGTGAAGATTATGAAGACACAAGTGAAAATAATAAAACAGAAACAGGGTAGCATCAGGATAGAATTTCAGTGGATACTGAAATCGCCCACATTTAATTTCCATTTGCTTAAATACCCCACACCCAAAAGGTAGGAGTAAGATTTAAAAAAAAAAAAAAAACTACATTCACATGATTCAAGGAATGAACTGACCAGTTGTAGGATTACAGGCTACATTCTTAGTTAAACATTCTGTTGCTAGAACAAATAACACTAATACCCTAGACCAAATCATTCTGGAATCCATTGTTGTCTCCTTAAGGGAGTAGGAACTTAGATCATTAGACTTTTGTTTGGTGTAGAAACAGATCTACTTCTCTATACCTGAAATACAAGGTCTGGGTATTAGTCACACCTGTTGACAATAACCTTGAGAGAGCAGAACTCTCTGCTCTGTTATTTGAACTATTGACAATAACCTTGAAGAAACAGAAGTTTAGGTTCCAACTATCTGACCTTTAGACAAGGTGGAAATAGGCTCACAGTTTTGGGCCTCCACAGTTACCGTACATAGAAGATGATGCTCCTCCCAGAATCCATAGATTGTCAAATAAATTTCTCAGTGTTATATATGAGAAACTCCTTTTGAGTTGTTGGTCAGAGATGTCCTGGAGACCCCAATGATAACATAGGCTATTTTCATTGCTCTTGGTTGCCCACCAGAAGTTGACAATGAGACCTTATTACTGAAGACAGCACGCATATTGGGTATAGAACATAGAGCAATAAAGTTAGTAGTATTGACCAGAAAGCTTTTTCCTGTTGGTTAGCTTTCATGGTAATGGAAGGGGCTGGGGGAAATGTCATCACTAGTACTGCTTAACTGTGTTCTCTCTGAACTTACATAATGACCAGGGTGGCAAAATATGCCCAGGGGTGCAACAGTGGCATGAATGTTATAGAAGTAACCAATCACTATTTTTCTTTTTTTTCTTGGAAAGAAAAAAAAATAAATTTCCACCTCCTCCCAGCCTCCCATTTCCCTCCCCCTCCTCCCGCTCCTTTCCCCCTCCCCCCACTTTTCTCCTCCTCCCTCTCCAGTCCGAAGAGCAGTCAGGGTTCCCTGCCCTGTGTAAAATCCAAGGTCCTCCCCCCTCCATCCAGGTCTAGGAAGGTGAACATCCAAACTGGTTAGGCTCCCACAAAGCCAGAACATGAAGTAGGATCAAAACCCCGTGCCATTGTCCTTGGCTTCTCACCAGCCCTTATTGTCCGCCACGTTCAGAGAGTCCGGTTTTATCCCTTGCTTTTTCAGTCACAGACCAACTGGCCTTGGTGAGCTCTCAATAGATCAGCCCCACTGTCTTAGTGGGTGGGTGCACCCCTCGTGGTCCTGACTTCCTTGCTCATGTTCAAGCATGAACATGACCAATCACTATTTTTCAAATTGGATTTAAGACCTGCTCCACAGGAGAAAACACAGCCCTAGTACTACAAGTCTGGCTAAGGACCCATGTTTGGGGCATTCACAGGCCCCAGAGACAAACCTATTGTTGCTGTTCTGCTAAATGGACTGTGCATCAAATCACTTTCTAAATCCATGTCTCTATATCCATAGATGGCTGCAGCGTTCAAATCTCATCAGAGAAGTTTCTTTGTGCACTGGATGGTATTTAACACAGAAACTCACAATTGATCAAAGTGCAGATAAGGGTTAGTGTAACGCTCATGATGCCATGAATAGGATATCATATAACACCCACACATACACACACACACACACACACACACACACACACGACTCAGGACTTACTCTGAATTTTAGTTCCTCCCCCCATTCCTTCTTGTATTTGCTCTTCCTCATTTGCCAAGCAGGCGCAGAGAGGCAGTTGGATCCCTGTGTCCAGCTGCAGAGGTCCAGTTATAACGAGGTGGAATTCGCAGAGCTTGCTGGTGCCTCTCATTTAGTCCTTTTTCTGCTTGAGAGTCTTAGAAGTTTACGTTGAGTCTGTTCTAAATGCCAGTGTGTTCTTGGGTCTCTGTTTTTATAAATATTACTATTTAAAAATTATTATATAATTGTATTTGTATAACTGTAGTGTTTATTATATGTGTTTACATAATATAGCTTATATATGATTGTATTATAATTAGTATAACATTTTACATGTCATTGACAAAATGAAACTTTAATAAAAAATATTAACATGTAGAAATACTTGATAAACCTATGCTTGTCCTAAATTTCCAAAATAATTTGGCTGTTGAAAATTTACTGTCCTATTATATTAATAAAGTCTCAAAAACTTAAATTTGTGTTTCAGTACGATTATATGGGATCCAACATTATGGCCGTAACACAGAAAATTTTCCAGATTATTGAGCTTGTCAACACAGTAAGTTTTTAATTTTTCAGACTTCTAATTTCATGAAAAAACATTGAATATAATTTGCATTTTATAAGTATGGAAAATTAATGACTTGAATGTATTTTTATTAGATCGATGTCCTCAATACTCTAGTGAATGTCCTTCCGTAGTTTTTATATACTAGCTGATGCATTTTGAGCATACACTGTAAATCCTGTTCATAGATGGTTACTCAGCTGGAACTGACGATTGTGTTAGCCTCCTTGGAACTGTGGGCAGATAAAAATCAAATTTCTACTGATGGAGATGCTAATGACATTTTACAAAGACTTTTGGATTGGAAACGAGACTATCTTACCCTACAGTCCCATGAGATAACACACTTACTCATGTAAGTAGACGGTGCTCTGCATGATAAACGGATTAATAATTCCACGAAGGTCAGTTTTTGAATTCATTATACTCTTCAGTTTTCTGTAGGACACGTTGAAGATATATATAGCTTCATGTATGAAGACAATAGTTTAAACAATGATGACCAATTTCATATTGGCATATTTTATATTTAAAGTAGAGTTAATGTGAACAAATCCTGAATTGCATTAATTTATATATCACTTTTATTACAGATTATGTCAGCCTAATCTAATTAATAATATAAAAATTGTTTATTTAATTTTACCTATACAAATTGATGTATTTCATGTCACTTTTTCATAGGAATAGATTTGTGTAGGTTGCTTTGTGATAATTTATTATTAAATAAGTGCTTATGTTTAAGATGTTAGCAAAATGGCTTTTTCTATGAGTTAAAAATTAGTTTCCTTACTTTTCAACTTTTAGTGGCTGAAGGAGTTATGGCACAATAAGGAAAGCTTGGTAGCATTTCAGATCATAGAATAATATCAAATCTGGGAGCTAAGTGAAGGAAAAAGTTTGATATCAAATAATTACAATAATTTGAACATTTTGCAAACTTTATTAGATATCCAGATTGGACTTTTATATGTTTCTCAAGTTTTTTTTTAACTTCATGAGGAGGTAAACAAATGCTTGTATGTTATGCTATGTGATTACATGAATACAATGTCAAACCATCATGGTGTAGTTACAGGAAACATCCAAAAAATATTGGAGCAACATCACCGGGTGAAATATGCAATAAAAGCTCTTTTGCGGGTATTGTCATGGTATGTAGTTTTCATCTTCTTTATATTACTACTTTTCAACAACCTTATTATTATATAAGTGTTTACGCAGTCGTTAAATGGTTTTCAACAGCTTATTCCATCCTATGTATGGCTATTCATTATTACTCTGTTGGGACAAAGTTGTTGGAGTCTAAGAACATCCCATTGTATTACACATTTCAAGCATAATCAGCATAATACAAAGACTAGTAAATTCTGTCACTAACTAGTTGTGGCATTTGCTAAAGTTGCCTGGGATTTTTAAGTAGCACAAACATTAGCTCAAAAGTAGAGACGCCTCCGTGTGTCCAAGCTCAGGCAGTAGCAAAAGCCATCAACTTGAGTTTGCCATTTCATAACCCTTCATGCTATCTCCACAAATTTCATTTTATTCTCTTATGAGCCAAATAATGGACTAATACTAAATTGCTTTGATTACACAAGTGGCTCTTCCCGGATTTAATAATTTCATCACATTGGTTTGTCTAAATTCTTTAATAAAATATGTCTGCCTTCCTCTGTGTTTGAGGAAGTCCTCTTTCTCTGCACTAGAGACACTCTGGGGAGTGTGTCTTCTCTTCTTGACACTGTACATAGGACACGGTGCACAGCTGTGACGTGACAGTTCTTGTTCCGTCTCCTTTGGAACATGTGCATTTCTGTTTCACATTCCATCGACTTACGTCTCTAAAAATGACCAAGGAAAAAAAGAAGCCAGGCATCATGGGAGCTGGGTGAAGGAGAAGGGATTTGATTCTTTTAAATTTCTGGTTAATTGTAGTATTTAGAATATGTATATAATATCTAATATAATAATATATGTATATATATATATGTACACACATGCACACACCTTGGAATTTACTGGTCTCTATTAATCCCCTTAGGAACTTTTGTGTGTTGCTTGCTTGCAGCATCTATAGTACCAGTTCTCAACCTGTGGGTCGCGACCTCTTTGAAGCAGGTTGAATGATCCTTTCACAGGGGTAGCATGTCAGACAATTCTGCATATCGGACATCTACATTATGATTCAGAACAGTAGTCTTTATTAATTATATGCACACATATAAAATCATTTTACTTCATCTTTTCTCTGCTTTTAGTATTCTGCTTCATTCTGCAGTGTTTCAAGGCCCTTCCTTTGGCTTCAGTCCCTCACCTGCACGCTGTTAGACCCAGTCTCCCCAGTGATGCCCTAAATTGAGAATTAGCTTACTTTTCTGGTTTTTTTTTAAAATAATGTTTTTATTAATTCTTTGAAAATTTTGTACAGTGTTTTTTGACTGCATTCACCCCCTCAACATCTCTTCCTTTCCCTGCTCTCTCCTCTTTTATATTTTCGGTTGTGAGCCTAGCCTTTAACTGCTGAGCCATCTCTCCAGCCCATCTTTCTCCTCTTTTAAACCTACTATTCCTAGGTATGGAGCTTGCTCTGTAATGCGCTATACCAGGTTTCACACCACCAAAAAAAATGACTTTCCCTCTCTTAGCAACAATCAAATGTCAATAGCTCCTCATTTAGGAGGTGAGACCTCATGTCCTCCATACTGGGATTTTGTGTGGCTTGAATTTGTGCAAGACTTGGGCATGGTGCCATAATTGCTATGGTTTCATATGTACATCTATCTGGCTTGTTGGAAAAGAGTTTCCTTGAAGTCATCTATCACCCCTGACTCTGTATCTTTCTGTCCCCTCTTCCATATAAACCCCTGAACGTTAGGTGGAGAAGTGTGATATAGAGGTTCCACTTAGGGCTGAGCACTCCCGAGTCTCTTGTTCTTTGTGCATTGACCGCTTGTGGCTCTCTGTGTTAACTTCCATTCACGGGAAGATGAAGTGATGAAGGCTGAGAGATGCGTTGACCTATATATAGGTATAACAATAAGTCATTAGGCATCTTGTTAATGCTGTATCCATTTAGCAGACTAATAATTGATTTTCTACTAGGGACCATGACCTATCTAGCCACAGATTCTTGATCTTATTGACAGTGAGTGACAGGTTTAAGTTCCACCTTGTAAAGTGGCCTTCAATACAATGAAAAGGTGGTTGGTTACTCTCAAATACTCGTGCCACTATTGCTCCAGAGGGCAGATCTTGCAGCCTGGCCTTTGAATGTATCCCTCAGTGTTCATAACTGTGTGAAGCTGATGATGACTTTTCTCCCCCAGGAGTGTGCATAGCACCTTCTAGCACTATGCAACCTAGCCATTAGGTATGAAGCTTCCGTTGAGTATATGTTGTATGACTGAATATGTGATGTCTTCAGCAGTAGTAGCTTACTGTCAAGTTGTGGACAGTAACCAATAACATTGGTAATATAGCCTGTATTGTTCCAGTTGTGGTGGGGGAGGAGTCTATGGTAATCCACTGGTCAACAACTCAGCAAGAGATAACTCTTTCCTAGTGCTGATGGTGGTAGCATATGGCATCTAGTTGAAGTATAATTTGGTTTCCTAATCCCAGATTTTTGGGCATCTTCTGTTGTCTCGTCAATGATTTGTAGCCTGATAAACCAGTGCTTTTCAGATCCCGCGGTAGAAAACTGTTTTTGTCTTGTAAGCAAGAGATACATGTACCCGAGGAGCATGCCTCACCCATACTGCTCGTTAGTTCTTGCGGAGTTTTAATGCAAATTAGTGCACAGCTTCACTAAATCTGTTACTATGAGACTTTAATTGGGATGGACTGAATGCTGGAATGTAAGGCAGTTGTCGATGTTGCAGGGACAAAGATAAGTGAAGCCCCGAGTCCCTCTCTGATGTTTTTGCCAACCAAAGCAGGTTGTGCTCATCTGCCTGGTGGGTGAGTGTTTTACTTTTATTTCCATGGCTGCGATGAAATACTCTGACAAAATGTAACTTAATGGAGAAAGGGATTCAGTTGGCTTCCAATTCCAGGATACAGTCCATCGTATATCACGTGAGTCACGAGTCACGGCCTCAGGATGTTAAAGCAGCCACACCCATAGCTAAGAGCAGAGAGAAGTGAATCTTATGTGTTTACTTGCTTACTTGTTCTCAGCTCAATTTCTCCACTTATATACAGGTTAGGACCCTCCTGCTTGGGGAATGGTGCCACCCACAGTAGGCTGGGTCTCCCCATATCAGTTATCTTAAGTAAGATCGCCCACCACAGGCATGCCCATAGGCCAACCAACATGGACAATCTCTCATTGAGGCACTCTCCGGGTGCTTCTAGATTGTGGCGAGCTGACAAAACTAAAATTATAGTCAGGCTTTTTGCTTCTCCTGCTTAAAGGTCCTATAATGATCTCACCTGTACTGTATGCCTTATAGTAGCAGAGAAATTCTAGCTCAGAGGTTAACAAGTTACAAGAGCTCAGTGTGGCCATTGCAACTCTAGTCACCTGTGTGCCAGTAAATTTTTATTCATGAATATTTGAATGGCATATAGTTTTCATGCACAGAAAAATATTTTTTCTCTTGAAATTTTAAAGTATTTTAAAATATAAAAGCTGTTCTTAGTTATAAAGTACACGAAAGCAGGCAGCGGCTGGATTTGGTCTGATTTGTTTGCCAGCCGTGTAATAGTCCAGTCAGGTCTCATGCTCAGAAAGCATCATCAAAATAGGAAGGGGTTCTCTAGAAGGGAACAGTTTAGAAAAGACCTTGCTCTTCTAAACTGACGTTTACCAGAGGAACAAATAGAGATGGATACTGAGTGCTCAAAACTATGAATAACAAAACAGGTGGGCTCTACACTAAAATCAACACACTTCCCGGGGCTTCTCAATGACTGTGTTTATCTGAGATTGGAATTGGAGTGATTGATTGGCGGAGCTTGAGATCCCAAGTTTTCCCTCTCTGTCTACTTGGTTTCTTTTTCAGTTTGGGATTGGTGTACTGGCTTCATAGAAGGTTTGGACTGCTCTTTCTATGTCTATTATTCTGAATAATTTCTTTGAAAGTTAGCTAAAATTCTGCTATGAATCCATCTGGCCTTGGAGTTATTTTAGATGGAGGCTTTTTATTCCTATTTCGGTCTCCGTGGTAGATAATTAAGCTAAACCCCAGAGAAGGATGTGTCTTGGCACTTTTTGCTGATTTGTGACTGAAATCATTTTGAGCACTTTAACTTGAAAGGTGTTTTATTTTGAGGAGTCTCTTCATCTGAATGACTTTATCCAATATTCATATAAGTTAGATAATTATAAAAGAAGACCATGACTCCTGTGTTACTGGGCATTAAGACTCCAGATTCTATATTTTACCTCAAAATCTGGTGTTCCATAATTGGGTGTCTGGACCCATGCCATGTTCCAGCTTTAACATTCAATTGTCAAATCTAGGTCTCAAACTTAGATACCACATCATTAGGGAAGCATACCTATTAGGTTTTTTTCATACTCATAGAATTTTCTGTGTTAAGTTACATGCATGTCTACAATATGTGTAGTTTTGTGGGGTTTGTGTCACATTATTTTAATAAATGTACAAATAAAGACATACAGCTAAATTAAAGTAGCCATGGGTATGCATAGCAAAGAAAATTATTACAAGGTACACTCAATATAAAAAGAATTATAGAATAAAATTTTGTGATTGCAAAGACATTTGTCACTCGCCTTTGTATTATTTTTACATAATTTTTTTTCTATTTCATCTTCTCTATTTTAGTATCCAGAAGACATAGGTTTGGAGGGATTATCGGTAGTTATCACTCAGCTGATTGGCCTTCAAATAGGATTGTCATATGATGATGTCAGTAATTGTTCCTGTCCCAGAGCTCCATGCATAATGCAACAGGGAGCCATGTAAGAATTTTTATGATGAATTTTATCTTTAAATTCTTTGTTAGACTTATTTTATTTATGTGAATTTTGCCTGCATGTATGTCTTTATGCCATGTGCATGCATGGTGCCCACTAAGGACAGAAGAGGACATCAGGTCCAGGGTCCCCTAGAACAGAAATTACAGTTGTGAACTACAATGTGAATGCCAAGAATCGAACCCAGGCCCTCTGCTTAGAACTGCTGAGCCATCTCTTTAGCCCCCAGTTGTAACTAATTTTATACATTGATCTTATGATTTGATGAACATTGAAATATTTTTATTAATTTCTACATTATAAGTTGGAATGTTATATTATGCTTAATAAGATAGCATATAAAATATTTTCCATGTGTGTGTCCAACTCATTCTATGTCTTGTGGGTGGAGATTGCTCATTCATTCCTGGCTGACAAGTCCCAAAATAATCACACAGAAACTATATTAATTGCAATACTGTTTGGCTAATAGCGTAAGGAAATTTCTAGCTAGCTCTTACATCTTAAATTAACCTATTTCTATTATTTTATATTTTACCACAAGGCTCGTGGTTAACCATCAAGGTTCTAGAGCATCTGTCTCCTTTGGCAGCTACATGACTTCTCCCTGATTCTGTCGTCTTTCTCCCAGCATTCAGTTAATTTTCTGGCTTAGTTCAATTCTGCCCTGTCACAGGCCTAACACAGAGTCTTTATTAACCAATGGTTAAAAAAAAACATATTCACGGTATACAGAGAGAAATACCACATCAGTGCCTGGCTGGTTTCTCCACCCTTCTTCTTCCCAGCATCTTCTGTGCCTGGCACTCCTGCCTAGCCATTGGCCACTCGTCTTTTTATTAAACCAATCACAGTGACGTATCTTACTCCACAACGTTTACCCTCTGCTGAAGTCTATATTTCTATTTGCTTCATCTCGTGGGTTCTATGATTTACTAATGGAGCATTGTCTAAATGTGTTTTAGTAGCTAAGTTTATTTCTCTGAGACTATTATTTTGCTTTAGGAGTTCCAGTGGGGTGAAGACTTTTAGCAACTGTAGCATGCATGACTACAAGCACTATGCCTCAAAATTTTTTGAGGGATGCCTTGGCAACCTTTCAGATGTGCAAAAATTAGCACAGAGTCAGCCCGTGTGTGGTGACGGAATTGTGGAAGCTAATGAAGAGTGTGACTGTGGAAATGACATGGTGAGCACTAGACATTCAAGTTTGGCCATAGTTGTTCTAATCCGAAGAGCACAGAGCATGCTGTCAGAGTACATGCTGGGCGTATGGTGGCATCTTTAGTGTAAAACTGATATAATGAGAATGAAGATAGATCAGTTGCTTTCCCACCTCTCTTTTGTACGACATGGTTCTGTGTAGCCCAGCATGAACTGGCTTGCAGGTTGAGACTGCTCATCCTTCTCGGCTTTACTGCCCGTCATGCCAACTGTTGTCTACTGCTGCTCCCAGTGTTCAAACCTGGTCTATAAACAAAACCTACAACTGATACTTTCAATGTCTGTGACCTCCTGAGATGGCCCTACTCTGAAGTTTATAGACCTCCCCTACTGGTCCCCTATCTCATGTGCAGTCAGAGTCATCCAGAGAATGAAGGCCAATCAGAAAGACCTGAAATTTTCAGGATAGAAAATAAGAGAGATTGCTATGTCTTATATGGAGAAATCAAGAGAAGCGGGGGTCATTTTAACCATGTGAAATAAATAACGACAGTATCACAGAAGCATTGCAGACAACCATGGCACCAGAAGCCTCCAACGCCGTCTTAATATACACACTCCATGTTCTTGGCGAGCAAATGGAGGTGTCTTATGCCGTAGACAGGCCACCGCCAACACCATTAATGGGAAAAGGGTCCGTGAATAAATACTTAATGTGTCTTGGTTTCCTTCCTAGAGTTTAGCTTCATTCTCAATAGAAATGTGTAGCAAACAAATCATCAATGGGAGTACTGAAGAAAGGTTGTTTCTCCTGGGAAGTCACACTCCTCCCAACCCAATGCATTCCATATTAGTAAATTCTGAGTCAATCTCCAAAATTTTCACGTTCGAGATCAACAACTGATTTAAGTGCTATTTCCTTAGTGCTCTCAGTCCCACATACTTTCGGGAATTCTAGAAATAATGAAAGCTGAGGGTGGTGAAGCTTCGATGAATGTAATTAGGAGCACAGCATGCGAATTAAAGCTGAGATAAAAGGGCAAGAGTTACCAAGTTGTGGGTGGTGGTGCTTTCCTAAAATCCCAGAGCCTGGGAGGTGGGGGCTGGAAAGTGAGGGGGGCCACTGGCACCCTCCACTGCACTGTAGAGCAGTCTTGGCTACATGATAGCCTGTCTCAGAAAGAAAGGGGAGAAGGAAGGAGAGCTGGAGCATCTATCCTAACCGGAATCCTCTTTCTTCCGAAAGTGCAGGAATGCCAGTTTAAAGAGTGCTGCAACTTTGAAACATGCAGGCTGAAAGCCTCTGCAAAGTGTGGCTCTGGACGATGTTGCACACCAAGCTGTGAGGTGAGTGGCTGGTACTTAGCAAAGGGAAGTTGAGCCGCAGTAATGCAAGACGAGATTAACTAAAACAGCGTGGAATGAATGATCCAAAGAATGTGGGCTCTAGAGATTCCATGATAAACCACCACGAGTTACATAAAACATTCCCATAGTCATCAATGCTGTTGCCACCTTTGAATCCTTTAGTTCACATACAAGGAGAAAGAAGATAATGCCATGTATTCCATTTTCTACTCTGTTCATTTCCCTTTGCAAATATCTGTGGATTATCATATTTCTTATATTTTAATTGCACTTCCCTTATTTAATGGTTTGTTTCTTTATTCTGTGAAGGATTAAAGTCAGGTCTGTGTGCATGCCAGGCATATACTGAGCCACACCCCCATCCTGTGTGTATGCTAGGCATATACCAAACCACACCCCTGCCCTGTGTGCATGCTAGGCATATACTGAGACACATCCCATCCTGTGTCCATGCTAGGCCAGTGCTCTATCACTGAGCCGCACTTCCCCCCACCCCCATGCTGCATTTCTTATATCTGAAAGCCTCCCTTGACTACTTGACTATTTTGGATCATCTGGGTCTACTGAGAGTGGGTTCTCTCAGCTATTGTTTGCCTAGGAAAGGCTTTATTTCCCATTAGGTTTTTTTTTTTTTTTTTTTGGTTTTTCGAGACAGGGTTTCTCTGTGGCTTTGGAGCCTGTCCTGCAGGCTGGTCTCAAACTCACAGAGATCCGCCTGCCTCTGCCTCCCAAGTACTGGGATTAAAGGCGTGTGCCACCATTGCCCGGCTTTCCCATTAGTTTTTAAAAATTGAGTGTGTATGAATTGTCATGAGTACACCAGAGCCAGCTCTCTGTTTCCACCATGAGTTCTCCAGGTATGGGGCCCTTGTCCTCATCCTGTTTGGCAGAAGACACGTTTGTCCACCGAAGCATCCTGCTGGCCCTCTCATTCACCTTGATGTATATCTCCAGCGTACGAAACTCTAACTTGTGACTTTTCTCTTTCATTTCTTTAAAGATACTTCTTTATTTATCAATTATCTTTTCATTATTAAACATTAGTTCAATTACAGATGCTATAGTCTGTGTATGTGTGTGCATGTGTGTGTGCGTGTGTGTGTATCTGTGTTTTCAATACATAGGGTAGTTCAACATTTGGAAAGTATAAATTTTGTTATGGATGGCAACAGATGAGAAATGTGTTCAACCAGCCATAAAAATGCATCTGAACTATGCAGAGAGACCCTTCTGTTCTCAGAATAATCAACGGTGGCGGGGAGATGTGCTGATCGCGCAGTATTCTAAGCATGCGTTCCATTACATGAGAATGTGATCTTCATTACGGATTTGCAAATATTAAAGAGACTCATTGTCTCTCCCACACGAATAAGCCAGTAAGAGTCAAAGCTGGACCCGGCTTCCGGGTCTTGCCAGCATCAGAGGTGGAACCAAATGTTCTGTGCTTCTCAATGCCCATGCTTCTCATGTCAGAGTTCGCAAGGCTGTGGGCAGCTGCCAGCCTGCTGTCCGTGGGGATCTGTGTCTATCACAAAGACAGTTGCCCTTCTCTGGGCTTCCCAGTGGGTATTTTACCTGGATTTCCCTTTCTAGAATTCTTAGTCTGGGGAGGTGTCAGTCCCTCAGCCACAACCACACACGTTTAGCTGAGTCCTTTGACCAATAATTATAGAGTCATTCTCAGCTCCTGGTCTTTTTTTTTTTTTTTTCTCCCGTCCCTAGCTGTCACCAGCAGGCACTCCCTGTAGGAAGGCTGTTGACCCGGAATGTGACTTCACAGAATACTGCAATGGATCCTCTAACCACTGTGTTCCCGACACCTTTGCGCTGAATGGTCACTTGTGCAGGCTGGGAGCTGCGTACTGCTACAACGGACGGTGCCAAGCTCTCAACGACCAGTGTGTCGGTTTATTCGGAAAGGGTACTGCTTCCTTTTGTATTTGTGGTGCACTTGGACTGCTCTGTAGAGAATGTATTATATGCCATAGGGCCTCAATGAGGAAGAGCCTGGGTCACAGTTTTAAGGAGGGAGAAACTGAAATTCAAGAAAAAAAAAATTAAAAGCATGATTGAAATTTTCCAAGAAAAATGCCATGTAGGTTTGGCTTGAAAAACAAATATGTTGCCCATTCCTCCTAAATTATATTAAAATATGAGTAGCAAATAAGCAGATAGTGATGGCTTAATTTTCTATTATCTACCACATTCATAATCCAGTATTGAAAACATGAGCCTTACAAAGCTGAGCCACATGTAACCTCTTTTCTGACCAAGGAACTAGCAATGCAACAGCAGCCACAGGCTACCTGGCCAGAACTCCTGCTTCTGATTTGTGACAGATTTTGTTTGTTTGAGACAAGTCTCATTACATAGTCCAGGCTGACTTTGAACTCACCATCCTCCCGTTTTGACCTTATTCATATTTTTTTTCAAATAACATTTTAGAGAAATCCAGATAAGACTCCTGCATGCCTGCTGGTGTTTTTGGTGTGCCCCAATATGATTATCTCTATGTCAAATGATTAAAATAGTTTGAATACATATCAGGTTTACAATGCAATGTTAGACACCAGAGCAATGGGCTTGGGAAATAACAGGAAATACGCTTCAGGATGGACAGAGAACCCCATGGGCGTGTAGGCTATGACTGGAAAACAGTTAGGATAGACAGAGTTTCCTGTCTGAGATAACATGACTGGGCTTTAAAGGAAAAGATTGGCTTCCAATTAAAACGTGGAGAGGAACTTCATTAAGACAGAGCTTAGAAGAAGAGAGTAAGAAAAATCTGCCACAGTCAGCATGAAGGGTGGCCTGATGTGAGGAGGGAGCCTTCAGAAAAATGCTGCAGACAGAGTGGGTATGGGTATATTCATAAGTCATTAAGAATCTAATCTAGTTCATGTTGTGAGAATAATAGACTCTCCCCTAGGCAATATGACCTGTCTAGCCACATGTCCTTATCCCAAATTACAGTACCAGGTATTTGTTCCAGCTTATGGGATTGGCCTTACATCCAAACAGAAAGTGGTTGGTTACTCCCAGGACACTTGTACCACTAGTGTACCAGTGTGCACATCTCGCCAGGCCTTTGTAATTGTAGTGTACAAGATCGCAGATGGATAAGTAGGATAATGACTTTTTTTGTTCTGGTAACATGCGTATCATGTACTAGCACCATTAAAGCTAGCCAGTAAGGATGAAACTTCCGGTCATACCAGCTTGGTAGCCTCTTCAGCTACAGGATCTTCCTGTTAAGTTCTGGAAAGTAGCCAAGAGCAAAGGCAGTAATCTATAATGTTTGGGGAGCTATAGGACCTCGCTAAGAGGCACCCTCTTCCTGACACTGGACTTGTTACCTTATAAAAACTAATTGGGGCTAAGTTGCCTTATTGTGAGTCAACTCTGTTTAAACCCTTTTTAAATGTAATTTTTAAGTAATCTCAGACATGAGCACTATATTTACATGATTTCCATACTCCCTTGCTGCTCCAACTCCTCACATGTCCCCCCATCTCTCAAGTTCATGGCCTCTTCTTTATTGTTTAAGTACAGCCAATTGAGCCCATTTGGCGTTGCGCCTCTGCGCAGGTGTTTAAGATTACTTGGGATTAAGTAACATTACCTGAGAGCTTGATTCAGGAGGAACTGGTCTTCCCTCTTCCATCAGCCATTGGTGCCTGCACGTCTTCATCTAGGGAGAGAGAGCCTTCTAACCACTCTTGTAATTGTTCAGGCCTGATTTGGTTATTTATCTGATCACCAATTGAGAGGATTGAATATTATAGGCATGTATACACATAAATAAAATAATCAAAAAATCAAAAGCAAGGTGGATTATGCCTGAGGAGCAATACATAATCTTTCACTCTGATCTCTACATATAGAGACGTGTACACACACAGGTACGAGGCACATACGCAGGCACACACACACACACAGTACATATTTTTAGAAAATATTTAAGGGGGCAAAGATGGACATGCATCTAATGCTAACCCTCAGGAGGCTGAGGCAGGAGATTTTTGAGGACAAGACCAGTCTGAGATGTATAGTACACCTTGTTTCAGAACAACAAAGAAATACGTAAATACACCAGTGTAACTACTAGCATTGGATATGATCCCTTTTGTTTTGTGTTATGGCATTGGCACGTTGCCCATGAAAATCAAGCTCACATGCCTATTTTGAAAGGACAGTTTTATGAGTCCGTGACTAAAGAGCGTGTAAGCTGCATTAAGGATAATAACCTAAACGACATGTTTCCCATTGTAGGTTCGAAAGGCGCCTCCTATGCCTGTTTTGAGAAAGTTAATTCACCACGTGGAAAACTGGCAAGCTGTGGTTTTAAAAATTCATCCCAATGTGCACAAAAGTATGTATGTAAAGTGTGGTTGTTTTTCTGAGTCCCGTTGCTTGACAAGTGACAAATACTAAATCAAAACAACTACCAAATTGTATGATAGGAAAATATTCTCATGCATGCATGAACACACTCATGTGCGCATGTGCCATGAACACCGTGCACACGTGTATGTGTGTGATCTCATAGAAATTCAGAGTTTTCACTTTCCTCCAGTTTTCCCCTTTACCCCCCTCCCGCAAGAATTCGACTGAATGAGGAATAGGATGAAATGTATTAAGAGGAATTGCCCACTTTTTAGAAAATAGGGTGTTCTGTTCTAAATTAAGTATTAAAGTTGGCTCACGTTTTAAGTCTGTCTGTCACTGTAGGTATCCTAAAGTGGATATTTTGATTTTTTTTTAAACACAGATGATTGTTGAGAGAAAAGAAATTTTCACCTTGTTTGTTATTTCCAAATGACCGATATGTAAAGCCACAGAGCATGTCTCAATGGCTCGCCTGGACTATTGTAACGTGGTTTATTATAGCATAAAACAGCCCCTGGGTCTGCACAGGGACTGACGGCCCTGTAGCAAGTGCTGCCAGAATTTTACTTGGGTATTTTTTTAAAAAGTCACAAGGGGCTGGGAAAATTCTAGCTCCTGAAAAGTCTTGCTAGAGTTGGAGCCACAGAACTCATGGGAAGAGAGCTAAGATGTGGTGGTCGACACTGTGATCTCAGTGCTGAGGAGAGAGAGAGAGAGAGAGAGAGAGAGAGAGAGAGAGAGAGAGAGAGAGAGAGAGAGAGAGAGAGAGAGAGAGAGAGAGAGAGAGAGAGAGAGAGAGAGAGAGAGAGAGAAAGGCAGCTCTCATGGACTCACTAGTCACCCAGCCTAACTTACTCAGTGAGCCCGAGGCCAGCGAAAGACAAAAAGTAAAGGTGACTGGCACTTGAAGCCTAACCCCCATTGCTGTCTTCTGGCCTCCATGTATGGGCATCTATGTACACACGGTTTTGAGTGACAAATGTATTGTTAAATTCTATGGGATATAATAATATACATAAATAATAATAATAATAATGGCACATAATCAAAAGATACTGAAAGAATACGTGGTTTGCCACCACTGGGCACCTTCAGGTGACAGGTCCAGCCTGACTGAGCTGTATTAAAGTCAGCCAAGTGTCCCTGAAGACCTGCACTAGAAAACAGAGTCATGTGTAGATGGTGTAAACTAAGTAGATACACCTCAGTTCTGCCACAGTGCTAATTAATCTGCTTGCATTTAGCCGTTTATGTTTTTTAAAAATCTTATAACATCATACAACAATGTTGCTGCTGTGTCATTTTTCCCGTTTTATGACATGAGCCAAGCATTCAGGCCACTGTCCACGCAATACTTAAGGAAGCTGGGATCACTGAAAAGTAAAATGATGAATTTTGTCCTTTCCATTTCCAGGGATGTTCTCTGTGGGAAATTAGCTTGCTTTCAGCCACACAAGAATCAAAAAAGCGCAGCCCGGTCTGTGGTATATTCATACGTCCATAACAGGGTGTGCCTGTCCACGCCTCCCGGGTTATCTATGAGGTCAGATGGCAGAGATTATGCGTTTGTGGCTGATGGCACTGTGTGTGGACCCCAGATGGTAAGAGGCTGAGGATTACGTTTCGCTGTGTAATTCCCACAGCCGTGTTCCAGGACGCTGATCGCAGTTTGACCCTGAAGCCTGTCTTCCTTTCCGACGTGGTGTAAAATAAGCCTTAGTCAGCGGGTTGCATTGCTACTTCTCAGTCCCTATGTAAAAAAACTGTGGGCTTGGGCTTGGCTTGTTTGCTTGTTTGTTTTGAGACAGGGTTTCTCTGTGTAGTCCTGGCTGTCCTGCAACTCACTCCACAGACCAAACTGACTTTGAACTCAGAGATCCGCCTGCCTCTATCTCCCAGTGCTGGGATTAAAGGCGTGTGCCACCACTGCCCAGCTAAAACGTACAAGTTTTTGACACGAGTCTACTAACCACCAAGTGCTATTATTTTTAGACCTAATCATTTCCAATAGTAAATTCTGAGTTTTCACTTCACCTCGCTTGGCTGCAAGCCATATCCGTATTGAATAAATTATCTGCTATGTATCTGATCAGAGCGGAAGTGTGAAGAGTTTGGAAGAGCCAAAGCTGACCTAGGAGAGCGTGGCTAACGGCTATCGCACAGAGACAGGCTCCTATGTGTTAGCATAGCTGTGTACACGCATGCGCACATTACACTCACATAGTCATTATACACAGACAGAACCAAAGTTCAGAGTTTATCAGTCTAGGGGATGAGGGGACCCAGCTCTGAAAGCACACAAATAGCCCTTTGAGGTTAAAAGTAGCGATTATAAACACTTTAGCGCACTTTACTTGGAGATTACAGAGCCAGCTCAAAACTCCAAAAGCAGAGGTTCCTGAACCCCAGAGATGCTTATTTGTTCTGAGTAACCCAGTTCCTGGGTCTGCCTGCCTCGTGTGGCCAATTTCCTCATGAGCTACATCTATGAGCTCCCTTCTCACAAAAAGAATAAAGAGAAGAAGGTTTAGAATGTCCGGTTAGGGAAGTGTCATACATGATGGACCTTGCCTGTTTCCCTTGTCTTAGAATATTTTGGTGTTTTGAGCTGTAGGCATGGAGAAACCCACAGTTTTGAGCCTGAGATGCACGTAGCCCCTACTCTGATGACCAGGAAAGAATAGAACTCCATCCCCAAATAAATGAGCAAGCCATTAGCAAAGGTGTATCTTTCAACTCAGATCTTCCAATAGGATAGTAGCCCCAGATACCTTGATCAGAATTCCACACAGGACTATAAGGTAGGAGCTCCAAGCACTGGGACCTAGCCCACCCCAGATAGTGTGCCCAGACTCCACGGCTGCCAGGACAGCTTGCCAGATTTTCTCATCATCTAAGTGGGGACAGACAAACTTCCAAGAGTGCCGAGCATGATTGTCTTGTGAATGGAGAATTAGACAAAAAAAAAAAAAAAAAAAAAAAAAAAAAAAAAAAAAAAAAAAAAATTCCTTAAAGCGACAGTTGTTAGTTTGTAGAAGATAGTGTCTTGCTCCTGGTCAGGGACACAGGTTACTGCCTGGCAGGGGGGAATTGACTTTTCAAGTCTATGGCCCAAACCTGTCTCTTTCTTCCTGCTAGGCTAAATTTATTTCTAAGTAAATATTGTGTTATTATTATAAAGACAAAAACTTTAAATATCTTTATTGGATTGTCCATTGTTAATTGGTAGAAATGTACCTGATTTTTTTCAACTTGATATGTTATCCTGAAACTGCCGAATTCATTGATGTATCAAGGGTGTGTGTTTGCCTGTGTATCTCTATGTAATCTGTAAGTCTGTGTGTTTGCACAGGCATCTGTGTGTGGTTTGCCCTTCTGTGTATGTTTGCCTATCCATCTGTGTGCATTCTGTCACTTCCTGTGTGTTCCCATGCTCATCTGTGTGTAGTGTGTTAGCGTGAGTGTTTATATACACACATCTGTGTGTAGCTTGTCAGTCTGTGTGTGTTTGCACGCTCATCGGTGTATAATCAGTCAGTGTGCGTTTTCATGGGCATCTGTGAGGAGTCTACTGATCTGTGTGTGCTTGCACTACCTCCATGTGCACTCTGTAAGTTGTCATGTGTTTACAAAGGCATCAGTGTGCAGCATAAGGCTACGGTAGATGAATCTGGGGACAGTCTGTCAGCCTGGGTGTGTTTGCCTGATCATGACTTTACAGTCTGTCAGTCAATCTCTGTGTATGTTTTCTTGGACATCTATGTGTAGTGTGTCCGCCTGTGTTTGCACAGCCATCTGTATGTAATCTGTCAGCCTGTGTGTATTTAAATAGATATCTTTGTGCCGTCTACAAGCCTGTGTGTGATTACATAGCCATCTGCCCACAGTCAGTCAGTCTGCGTGTGTTGGCATGGGCATCTCTGTATAGTCTGTCTGCGTACATTGGAGATCTACATATACGATCATGTCATCTACAAGCAAATAATTTTATTACTTCCTTTATGATTTGAATTTCTTTTCTTTCGTTTTAATATCTAAATTGCTCCAGCTAGAATACTGAATATAACACTGAATATTGAATGTAAGGATCAAAGAAAGGCTAGTATATACAAGTTATGATTTATTTATTGGTTACATGTTAATTTTGAATAAATACAAAGATCTCATTTTCATCCACATTTGATGTATTTATTTTGTGAATTACTTAATTACATCTTGTGTCAACAATTGAAAAACATAAGCCACAAAGCCTAACAAAATAGAAAAAGTTAAAAGAGACCAAAATAATTACATACCCAGATTACCGATTACTATTTGATTGCTACTTTGACAGGACAAGATTTGATAATTGCCAAAAAATAAAAACAAAGTTAAATTATTTCTCTTACCTTATAATTCTGATATGTGCCACCGCAAAGAGTTAAAACAACCTATGAATTGTATTTGAGACATAAGAAAAATTATTCTCCAACCTTAGGGGGGCAATTTTGACTTTTATCCAACAATCCATTAACAAATATTGACAGTGTAGGAAATGCAATGCGGATTTCAGTCAGTTCAAACTGTAGGGATCAAAATTCAAACCACACATAGTCCCTGTCTAGCTCCCAGAAGAGCGGCTCCTCCTGCTTTGATACCATTGCTGTTGAGGGGCTTATTTTAGAAAGCTGGAACATTGGTATTGGAATCAAAGCAAAATTGATAAGCAGAGAGGCTGGAGAGATGGCTTAGTGGTTAAGAGCATTGCCTGCTCTTCCAAAGGTCTTGAGTTCAATTCCCAGCAACCACATGGTGGCTCACAGCCATCTGTAAAGAGGTCTGGCGCCCTCTTCTGGCCTTCAGGCATACAGACAGAATATTGTATACATAATAAATAAATATTAAAAAAAAAGAAAATTGATAGCAGACCTTGGACATCTTTTATGCAACAAATATGTCCCTTTTATGTTACAAATAGTGGTTTGTTTTATGTGACATTTGTGACCGTGAAATATCCTATGTTTAATTTTAGTATTGCATAAACAGAACTTGCCAAGAAGTTGATCTAACAAGAAATGACTGTAATGCCTCTAAGAAGTGCAAAGGGAATGGGGTAAGTGACCCCACCCATGCGGGCGACTGTGACCATGCAGGTGACTGTGGGCGGTTCCAATCTCCTGCTTTGGAGAACTGATGACTGCACCACTCTTAAATGGCATGACTATAACCAGGAACCTGGAGGCAGGAATTTCAGCAGAGCCATGGAGGAGTGATGCTTACTGGCTTGCTCCACATGGCTGTGTTGGGAGCGGTGTTGTCCCCAGTGAGCTGGGCTCTCCATATCAATCACCAAAAAATAATGCATTACAGACTTGCCCACAGGCCTATTTTACAAAGGCGTCTTTCTCAGTTGAGAGTCTCTCTTTCTGAATGACTGTAGCTTGTGTCAAGTTGATGTAAAAACAGCCAGTACATCAGATTTACCTGCTAAGACGATTCAAAATGACTACATATTTTTCTGCTTTAGGTATGTAATAACTTTGGTCATTGCCAATGCTTTCCTGACTACATGCCTCCAGACTGTAAACTACAGATTGGGTCACCAGGGGGCAGCATCGACGATGGAAACGTTCTCAAATCAGGTCAGTACAAATAAACCTCCCAGACACCTAGTCTGTTGTTTTCTGTGGTATTAATTGAAGAAAGACATCTTTGTCAAATCTTTCCCAGCCCAGTTAAAGGTAAATTAGCTGGGTGCCATATTTGTAGTGAGTTTCCTCTGACCAACTCTAACCAACTTAGTGATGTAAACTAAAATAGAATTGCACTCCTAACGTTTCAGAAATGTCGTTAAGTAAAATTTTTTTAAAAAAGTCATATATAGAATAATGAAAACTATATGCAAGGTTCGTATTTCATATTATTAAAACAGAAAATTATTGAAAAGCAACCCTGGAATACACTTTTCATTCTGACTGAGACTTAGAAAAACGTACAGCAAAATGTAAGTGTATTTCCTACCAGGAGATAATGGTAAGTCACGTTCTGAGTACGTGCTCATATTTTCCCTTGTTCCTATGGTGAATGAAAGCCAGGTCACAAGCCATTCGCTGGTACCATCATTTATTCCTTCATCTATCTCCTCCACGAGCATGTCAGCAGGTATTTTGGAGAAGGAATAATATGGAGATCAGAAAGTCTAAATAATCAATAACATGGAAGTTTAATAGTGAAAGTGGGTTACCTGACACCCAATGGCGTTAGCTATGTTGGCCTGAAGTAGATATATAAGTGGACAACGAATAAATTGTCTCATATGTCAAGTATTTGAAAATAGCAATGACTCAAACATGGTTGTGAATTAATTAATGCCTGGCACCTGAAACAAGAGGTTCAAGGATGCTGGACACATTCCTCTGAGAGTCAAGAGTTGAAGGGAGCATGAACACAATCTGTTTCAATTTGTACAGCGAGGGTGGTACCCGACTATAATCTCAACACGCAGGCATCTGGAGCAGGAGGAGTGTGCTACGAGTTTGAGGCTAGCCTGGGCTACAGTGGAAGACCCTATCTGTGTTATTTAGGTCTCTATTGCTGTGATAAAACACCATGACTCACAGCAACTTGGGGGAAGAAATGATTTATTTCACCTTGTAGTTCTCAGACCACACTCTGCCCCTGAAGGAAGTCTGGACAGGAACTCAAACAGGGCAAGAACTTGGAGGCAGCAGCTGCTGCGGGGGCGGTGGGGTTGTTATTTGCTGGCTTGCTCTCCTAGGCTTGCTCAGTTTCCTTTCCAATAAACCCCAGGATTACCACCTGCCCGGGTTGCACCACTCAAGGCCCTCCCCACATCGGTCACTGATTAACAAAATGCCCTGCAGACTCATTCCGGAGTCCTTTTCTCAGCTGAGAGTTCCTCTTTCAAAACAACTCTCTCTTGAGTCAAGCTGAGAGGAAACTAGGCAGATGCTCTCTCAAAGGAAAAGAAATTGAATAGCAAGCAGTTTGGCTCTCTGTGGAATTCATGAGAAGGCATTTTTTTTTTAAATAATACTGTTTATAATTCACTAAGGACACGAAGAGCTCATAATCCATAGTTCATACTTATGTTAGGTGACCGCGGCAATTAGTGCGGAAAGGACACTGTAATTTCAGGGCGCCGTGGCATTTTAGAAACACAGTGTCCGAGACAAACGCCCGTGCTAAAAACATATACTAAAAAAAGGAGTGGTTGAAGCCGGCCATGGTAGCTCCTGCCTGAGATCCCAGCACTTGAGAGACTGAAGCAGGTCGATTGCTCCAAGTCTGAGGTCCAACCTGGGTTTCAGGGTGAAATCTGGTCTGAAAAACAAAGGCAGAAAACAAAACAGAAAATTAGATTCTTGTTTCGAGTCAGGACAGAATAATACCAGAAAACTGCATGAACTATTTGTCAAAAAGAGTATAGACCTATGGGTAACTGGAGGAGAACGTAGGCCTGTGGGTAACTGGAGGAGGTGTAGGCCTATGGGTAACTAGAAAGGAGTATAGGCTTAAGGGTAATTAGTGAGACAGCTTCGACATTCCTGTCAATGCGATGGAAGAACAGAGGAAAGGAAGGAAAGGGAAGAGAATGGCTGGAATCGTTAAATGACACGTCAACCAAAGAGACCCAGTCTTCTAGTCACGGGAAGTATTTGGAATAACGAGTGTGAGAGACAGATTCCCCCCTGACGGACGTCATCTCCCCTCAGCCAGTTCTGTCAGCACCGTAGTCCAATCAGGAAGGCGCAGTAGAGGAAACCTTAGGTTTACGGCTACGGACTAAGGGAAGGGAGAGAGGACAAGGAGAAGGACTCAAATGTTTAACAATCTGTCCACTGCACTGCAACTATGTCACCAGGAGAACACAGAAGAAAAGAAGAAACTCTGTGGTTACTGAAATGAAAAGGATTTTGTAGTTGAAAATTCCCAGAACTGAATTTTTTTTTTCATATTTTTCAATGGTTCCTTGAAGATTTTGCATAACTTATATTGTGATCATATTTACCACCCTCCTTTGGTTCTTTCTGGATCCACGCTCTCTTCCTAAATTACCCAACTTCGGTACTCCCCCTTTTTGCAACCCACGAAGTACGGTTTTTACTGGTCATATACTCTTGGATGTGTGCCCTTCCACTAGAACACGGTCTATGTACCGGGGCTTACGTGACGGAAGAAGCTCAACTCTCCCTCTCCTGCAGCCATCATCTGACTCTGTCACGGGTGGGACTTTGCGCCCCCTCCCTCCACATCACATGTTTGTCTGGCTGAGTGTTGCACAGGTCTGGGGCATTCGGTCAAAGCCTCTTGAGTGCCTGTTTGTCCTGCTGTGTCTGGAAAGCGACAGTCTCTTGTAGTCATCCCCACCTCGGGGGTCTGCAGGGAATCTTGGGCCTTGGTGGGGGAGGGGTGCGGTGTGGCTGTCTCATTTACAGCTGGGCATTCTGCAGTTTTATAATTTGCATCTTGACCCTGCATGGATCTCTGTTAACTTTCACCTACGGCAAAAGGAAGCTTCTCCGATGAGGATGGGAGAATGTGCCAAATCTACGGGAATGATGATTCCGGGTCAGTTTAATATTATCTACACTTAGCAGAATAATAAAATATATTTAATAAAACATAAAACTATTTAAGATTTTTCTCAGTTTTTAGTTCCTCGAGGATTTCGAACAAATCACTTTGACCGTTGCACTACCCTCCCTCAGCTCTCCGTAGAACCTCGGCTGCTTCCCTACCCAACCAATTTCCGGTCCTCCCTTTTTTTTTTTTTTTAATCCAAGTAGTGGTGGGTTTTTCTCCAGGGCCTATGACATTTCTAGCCACAGTTCCCTGTCAGGCCAGTCACTGTTGTAGCTCTCGTGGCTCACAGCTGGGGAAGACCTGGGCTTACTTTTCCCTCCGGTCGTCTACACAGCACTCGCCAGCACTGCGCAAGCCACCCAGTAGACACCAAACCTCCAGCTGGTGACAGACCGCTATTTTTATGTCCTATGATTCAAGCGTGTGGTGCCTTCGACAGTAGGGTCTCACCTTCTCATTCTAGGGGTAGCCAAGAGTATTGGCCTGTAGTGTTTGCTGGAACTATGAGGCATCATGGGTCCAATACTCCAAAAGAGGTAACCCATTCCAGATACTGGTCACTTGCTGGGTTCTGGTGTTTAGGGGAGGCTTTGTCACCCCATTAGTGCATAAGTCCATTGCAGCTTTGTTCTGTGTGTATGTATATGTTTTAGGAAGCTGCTACAGTGTAAATTTCCATATGGCTTTTAAAAATGTCCGTAGTCTTCTTGTCCCCCGCCCGTATTCCCCCCCTCTGCCCTCCCATCCCCTCCTTCTGGTTGTTTCACTCCCCTTTCACCCTTATGCCGCTGTTTCCTCTCCCCCTCTTTAAAAGACCCCCATGTCCCTTTATTAATTTTCTGACCTCTGTGGCTATTCCAAATACAACAACACGTATCTGAAGACCCAAAGCCAATACCCGGAAATGGGAGAAAACTGTAATGTTTGCCTTTCTGAGTCCGGCTTGTCTCACTCAGAATGCTCTGTCCCAGTTCCGTCCACTCACCTGTGGACTTCATCTTTCTTAACTTCTAGATAATCTTCCATTGTGTAAACCCCCTACATTTTCATTATCCATGCACCAGCCAGTGGGCATTTGGGCCGTGTCCATTCCTAGTTATTATGAGCAGAGTAATACTGAACATGGGCGATCAGGTATCTCCCTAACAGAATGCAGGGTCCATTGGGTAGATGCCCACAATGGCGGAGCTGTTTGGGAAGCCTCCACACTGGTTTCCACAGTGGCCGGACAACTTTGCCCTCACACCGGTAGAGAATAACTGTTTCCCCTACATCCACATCAGCATCTGTCATCATCTGCTTGGGGGATTTTGCCTTCGTTTTCTTGGACATTTTGACTGGGATAATACGAGCTTTAATTTACATTTCCCCAACAGCTAAGGATGTCAGACATTTAGAAAAAAAAAATGTTTCTCAGCCACTTGATTCTTCTTTTGAGAGCTCTGTTTGGTTCCACACACCAGTTTTTAATTTGGTTGTTGTTGCTTTCTCTTGATGTTCAGGTGTTTGGGGGAGTTTTTTTTTTTTTTTTTTTTTTGGTCCTCTATATATCTGAGGCACTAACCCTCTATTTGACATGTGTCTAATAAAGATTGTCCCATTCTGTAGGCTGCCTATAGCTGACCACGCCCCTTGCTGTACATTGGCTTCTTAGTTTCACGGGAAGCCCACCTCTTAACTGTTGGTCTTAACGTTTACACCCCTGTTGTCTTACTGTTCTATCTAGAACTTCAAGTATTATATCGAATAGATATGGAGAGAGTGGCCAACCTTGTTTTGTTCCTGATTTCAGTGGAATTGCTTCGAGTTTCTCTCTATTTAGTTTGATGTTGGCTGTTGAATTGCTGTATATTGCTCAGGAAATCCTTTCTTGTGCCACTGAGTTCAAACCCTATTCCCTGTTTTCTCTTCTATCAGATCCATGGTATAAGGTCTCATGTTGAAGTTTTTGATCCATTCGGAGTTCAGTTTTCTTGCAGAGTGAGAGAGAAGGGTCTAGCTTCATTCTTGTACTTGGAGTTGCCAATTTGACTGGCACCATTTATTGAAGATTTTATCTTTTACCCAATGTGTATTTCTGGTCTCTCTGTAAAAACTCAGGCGCCCATTACAGTTCAGGCTTGTATGTAGGTTTTCAGTTCTTTTCCACGGACCAATGTTTTATGCCAGTACTATGCTGACTTTTATTACTCTAGCTCTGTAGCATAACTTGAAATCTAGGATGGTTATATGATCAGCAGATTGTTTTATTGTTTAGGATCGTTTTGGCTCTACTGGGTCTTTGGTGTTTCCATATGAGATTTAATTTTTTTTTCAAGCTCTATGAAGAGTCACATTGGTATTTTGGTATGGATCACACTGAACCTAAAGATTTCTTTTTGTAAGTTGGCCATTTCACAGTATTAATCCTACCAATTCACGAGCATAGGTGATCTGCCTTTCAGGTTTTTTTTTTTTTGTTTGTTTTTCAGTGTCTTAAATCTTTCATTGTCTAAATCTCTCACTGCCTTGGTTGTATTTATTCCAAGATCCTCAGCACATGTGCGCAGATGTGGTGAAGGTGGAAAGAGAAGGGCTTTGTGTGCCTAAAGCGTTAGTACCGCATGGAAAGATGGCGTTTTGTAAGAATGTGTGCATCTAAGGAGAGGAACTTACTTAGCAAGGCAGTGGACAAAAGTTTTTATAACAAAATTTCCTTGCATTTTCACTTAAACTCTGTTAACATAGTGACTTTAAAATATTTAAATGAAAATAACTATTAAGTTATAGATAAACTAAGAATTTGAGTCAGGTTGAGCAGACCTGACTCTCCAGCATCTGTGGCTTAGTGGGGAAGCCCTCAGCCTCTTTCCTTGTTGCATTCCATTTGAAATACCCAGCATGTGGTCATCTGAAGATCTCTGCTGTGGGCACAGTGTTCTTGTCCCCCATTCGAGAAGAACTTAGAGCCCTGGGATGTGGAGCGATCGTTCAATGGCATCTTTTGAATTATTGATGTAACCAATGAACCACACGAAACCAACATCCCTCCAAACAAGTAGGGAGCACCAGAATATTAAATAAATATGCAGAACAAGACATATGGAAAACATGTCATGTAGTTTTGAAGTGTTCTCTTATTTCCCCCAAGATAGTTGCCTGCAGTTTGCCAAAGTATGAAGCACATTATGCATACATGAGATTAAAGTGGAAAAAAGGAGTCTGAGCCTGTCCTCTCTGGCGTTTCCTTTCCAGACATAATTTTGATGGCAAAGAGCTTCAGCAAGCATCAGGACAGCTGGATGATCCTGGGCTTCTTCATCGTTCTGCCTTTTGTCCTAAGTCTCATCATTGGGATCATGAGGAGAAACGAGAGGAGAATCCTGCCTCAGAGATAATGCCAAAAATGAGGGGTAAATACAATCCATAGTATCAGCCTGTTGGGTTAAGTGGAACTGCATTTTGATGGCTTGTGTTCTGCTAGGTTATTTGACTCCTTAAATATGAACTATTCTTGGCCCCACAGAAGTTGAATTCTTTTAACTTTCTTTCTCAGTACTTCAGCTCCCTGGATCTTTTTCTAGTTGTGTTCCACACTGCACTGGGAACTTAATTTCTGAAATGTCAGTCAGAACACTCCTCCTCTCTCCCCGAGGGTTAGAACACTCCTTTCTCTCCCCGAGGAAGAGAGAAAGTGACCGTTTGCAGTCAGAGTGCAGAGGCCCTGGTAAGTCACGTAGGCTGCTCCATTTCTGAGTACGGCTCCCTGGCTCCAGGAGGATGAAGGTTTCAGGCTGTTCTGATGTAAGATTAAACAGTGTGTGGGGTAGAGGGGGTTATGGGTCCGTGGTTAGGGGCACATACTGTCTTGGCAAAGGAGCCACGTTTGGATTCCAGCATGCATTGATTGTGGCTCAGAACTGCATGTACTCTAGCTCCAGGGACTTAATGCTTCTGGTCTGTGTGGACACCTGCACCCAAGCACACATATCTAAACACACATGCACACACACACACACACACACATACACATGCACACATGAGCATGTGCACACACACACATGCACCTGCACTTAAAAAAAATAATGAAAATAAATCCTTTAAAAGCGTAGGAAGGGGGAACGGGCTTTTCCAGGTGAGTTCAGAACCCAGTTCGAGCTTTAGGCTGCCTGCCCTGAGAATCTGCCCTATCGTTTGCCATTGGGACAGGGGAGTGAGCGATGACACGGACGTCGGTGGGGTCTGGAGAAATCCAGGCTCAAGGACTCAGTGACTTAGATCCCTAACTCATGGTTGGCCAAGCTGTAGTTTCTCTGGACAAGCCTTGTGGCCTTGTGTGACCAGCCGAGGTGTGTGCTGCCTGCCACAGAAGCGAGTCTGCCACACCTGGCTGTGTGGAGCTGGTCTCAGAGAGGTTACACATTTGGGCTCAGTTGGTGAACTGCATTGTTAGTGCCTCCTGAAGGTTTTGCTGTCTGGTAATTGCCAACCTTTCCAGATGATGGCACCACACAAATCAACCCCAGAAAAAAAAACCTGGTCTCCCTCCGGAAGGAGGATGCAGATCTCAAACCACAGGCTGTCAGTAGTGACGCTGGCGATGTCACTGGCTGCCCTGGTAGGGGCACGGGTTAGGGGCTCCTGATCTAGAAGGATGGGTTCATGGTGTGGTATGGACAAAGGATAGTTAACACTCGATTTGCTGAAGGAATTCTTTAATGTCAGGCTGAATTCCCTGTATAGCTCAGGGGAGTTCAAGAATGATCGTACATTAAGGGAAAAAAATTTTCAGGTCAGTTTGTCTCAGAGAAGCAGAATGAATACAACTGATATCCACTAATTTTTATGGCTGGAGGGACCAGAGGGTGGGAGGGGAGAGTGCAGAATTGTCCCCTCCTTTTGAGAATAATATACAGGCAAATAACTAAGACATCCCCAAGCTGGCCCACATAGGCTTACATCACACTGTCCATGAGCCTATTGTTAACAGATGCCCGCAAGATACAGGCTCTTAAAGTATGGCACACAAAGAGCCAGAGGCCTCCGGTGGTACGGCTGTCCGTCAGTATCGCTTATGGAAAGTCAGGTGCCCCTTGTGAGTTTAGGCTGTTGATTAAATTTAGTGAAAAAAGTGTTTGGGTCATAAAATGTGCTCCTTTTTGAGGTTGCTTCTCCGAAAAGCCACCAGTGGGATCAGTTGTCACTCCCTCACATGTCCCTGGAACCCTGCCTGCACACTCTATAAACCGCTTATGGTGCTGGGGTTAAATGTGTTTATCTGCAGAACCCTATGAAGCTGTCACACCTCACGGACTACACATCATACACTTCCAGGAGGTTCCCGACCACCTATTAGTCCCCTGAGGATTTGGAAGTCCCTGAGGATCTTCACAGTAAAATTATTCTTCATGCATCTTGTGTTGATCAACTTTACTTAAAATGTTCAATTGCAATTTTTGGAATGACCACAAGATGTCACAATACATTCATTGTAACAAAAGGATCCAACCACCATTATGGCTCCGCCTGGCAGAGCTGGCCCACCAGTCCTTGATAGATCTGAATTCAAAATTTTGCCAAATGCACGCCTAGACATCTGCCAAAGCTTCTCTTACTACATTTTGGTTTCTAATTAAGGCTAATGTGTTCTATATTTATTTTTTCTATGGAGATATTGCTTATATGTATTCAAGCATTGATGGACAACTTAATTATGTAGCAAAAAGTACTCTCCAAGTTGAAAATTCAAATTCTGCTATTAAATATGTATGTGATGGTATTCGTGTATGTTTGTGTATCTCTGTGTGTATATGTGTACATGTATGGGTATATATGTGGTTATGCATGTATGTGTGTTTGTGTGGACACGTGTGTGTGTGTGTTAGGGTTTCTATTGCTGTGATAAAACAACATGACTATAAGCAACTTGGAAAGGAAAGGATTTAATTCTATACTGTGGACACTTTATCACAGCAATATGTATTATCTGAAAATGAGTAAGTAAGAACTTGCTGCTTTCATTGGAACTCCAATTACCAATCTGAATATTAGCTACAGCATGCTATTAATATTGGTGTGCAGCCTGGACTCCCAAACCAATGGGAACCGTGCCTGGTTCCCTTGCTAGGAGTGCCCTGGAGTCTGTATCCTTGGGTGCCCCGGGGTACCTATTGTTGAGGTCCCTGTGTATCAGGTCACTATGAGGGTATTGACCACCCAGGGTCTAGGGCAGTGGTTCTCAACCTTCCTAATTCTGTGACCCTTGAATACAGTCTCACTTGTTGAAGTGACCCCCCAACCATAAAATTATCTTGTTGCTGCTCCATAAATGTAATTTTGCTACTGTCATTAATCGTAATGTGAATATCTAGGATGCAGAATATCTGATATTCAATCCTGTGACAAGGTCGTTCGACCCCCAAAGGGGTTTCCACCCACAGGTTGAGAACCACTGCTCTACTGCCTTCTCACAAGTGAACTCTACATAAATACAGACAAGAGAAGTCTAATCTTCCACTTGGTTTCCCTAAGCCGTGACTTTCCCTCTAGGAATTAAAGCGTGTTAAGCTGAGCTGATCAGGAGGCACATACCTGTAACCCTGGGATTTGGGCGGGACCAAAGCAAGACGATGGGGCTTCATAAAATCTACCAGTCTTTAAAACAAACAAAAGGAAGGCAAAAGAAAAGTTCAAAGTTAGAAAAAGAAACGTGCCCTGTTTTATTGTTGTTTCATGGCTGTAATCTGTTTGTCCAAAATGTGGATTATAAATACTAACTAAGCATCCATGCCATCTAAAGCATACATGCCTTCTCCCTTTCACACTTCTTAGACAGATCCCTAGCCATTAGGCATGTCTGTCACGGGTTGATTTTCCACGTTTGTGTATTTGAAAGTCACTTTAGGTGGAAACCCAGAAGCAGGTCTGGTTCTCGACCCAACTGTGAATTTCTCTTTTCTTCTTCGTTACAGCAAGCTATTCATCACACCAGAAAGCTGCCAGGGAATTTAGCAGTGAGTAGAACAAAGGAGAAAACGTGTGTTCTAATCCCTCTGTTACCCGACACCCCCGGATACAGTTTAAACCTCAGCCTTTTGTAAAATAAAATGGATCCATGCACAAACGGAGGCTTCTCTGCGTCTCTCCAGAGTCTGAGGGTGACAGGTGACAAACGGCGGGTCAAAGGTGGCCAGTGGTGAAAGACCCTCAGCGAGTGTCTTCCTTCTGGGGAGACCCTTCCCAAGGAACAGCGAGACCACTTCATTCGGATGCAATTCAGCAAGAGGCTTTATTCAGATACACAGGTACTTGGGGCGACAGAGTCTGTGCAGAGACTTGCGCCCCCACAGGCTGGGGTAAGGGGTTTATATAGGGACAAGGGAGCAGAAGCGCGGTTACAGAAGCGAGATGCATGGTTACAGGGCTTTCATTGGTTAGTTTAAATGAGGCCAGGATAGACTCGGGGACAAGTTCCCTTAGTACCTGGAAATCAGATAAGGGCCTGACTCGGCTCTATCTAGGGAACATAGAGTGTTTTTCTGGTGCTTTCTGTTCCCACCCTGGGCCAGATGTCTGACTACAGATATCCTGTTTGGCAGCCCTTGGGCTGAACTTCTCCTCAGCAGTACAAGCCTTGCATGAAATGGCGTTACTGTGGCTAAAGCTGCAAGCATTAAGTTGGAGGGGTCTTTCAGTGGCAAATTCTGGGAGGGCTGTCCAAAGTCCTCACCCTGGAAACTTCTGGCTCCACAGACCTGGGGCCTGGACAGAGTAACAGATTTAAGGAAGACAACGTGGGGGAAAGGATCAAGAATGAAAACCAATTAGTTTTTACTCTAAAAAGACAGAAAAGGCATGGGTGAGCCCAAGATGTAGGGCTTGATCATGAATCTGATGAACCTTTCGTGGGATTTGCTTGAATAAGAGAACAGACCGAAGCCACCAGAGCAGCTAGTGAAGGACAATGGCACGGGACTCCAGTGACTCCGCAGCAGACAGGAGGGGAGGACAAATGGTGCTGGTTATGTGTGTTACAGGCAACATCGATCTCACACGCAATAGAAAATATCACCCAACCACAGTCCCACAACCAATTCAGAACAAGTTACTTCAGTAGCCCTCTACTCGATACAGAAATACAATCAATTAAAAACATTTCCTGAAAGAGATCGCTGTAGACCCAGACAGTATCAAAGACGAATTCTAACCAACCCTGAAGGAGAAGTTGATAGTAATTCTGCAAAAATCTTCCAGGAAACTAAGATCGTTATGCCTGCCCTCATGTATAATAAACAGCATCACATGGTAACCAAAAATGCTCTGCTGAAGCTTCTGAAACGAGAAAAAAAATCCAAGGACCCATGAACAGCAAATCCAGCCTGCCACACCTAGAATAGAC